GTTGAAGGAACTGGCTTAGCCTTTATTGTCTTCACTGAAGCTATCACCAAGATGCCTGTCTCACCTCTGTGGTCCATCCTCTTCTTCATCATGCTCTTCTGCTTGGGTTTGTCATCTATGTTTGGAAATGTAGAAGGTGTGCTTGTACCTTTACAAGATCTCAAAGTCGTACCCTCTAAATGGCCTAAGGAACTCATTACAGGTAAGTGCTTTATCAGAGACAAGTGATCTCCACCCCCCTCAATTAGCAACTGATATGCTAAAAAATGCAGTGCTACCCAAACAGATTTATGGGCAAGTTTCTCCTAAAACTGATAAAAAATTTGGGGTGTATATATATGTATATATATCGATAAGCATACACATATATATATACGCAGAAAAGTTTCAGTGAGGCTTTATTCAGTCTAAAATTGAGTACTGCCCAAAAATGGAAACAAAGGGCCTTCCCTGTAGTCCTTGAGTCATACAGCCCATAGCAGTGCCATGTGAGGAATCTTCTGGAATAGAAGATATTCTGAGCTTGAGCACTTTGTGTCAGATGCCCAGAAAATGCCCTACTTCTATTCAAGGTGATGTGCCTCAGTTCTCTACCAGTCTTGTTCTCAGTTGCCTAGCAGGCACTGTTCCTCTGGAAGCCTTCCAGAAGGTGATGTAGTTCCTCAGCAGCAGTGGCTGCCCTGCTCACATGGCCACAATGTTCTGATACAAGCAACTCCTCAACACCCACAAGGAACCCAGAAGCCCACCACTAGTTTCACTAGTTGTTTGATTCTTTGGTTACTTTTGGTTTTGTGTCTAAATGTACTGCTGTTTTGTATTGTTTTTCACAGGTATCATCTGCGCAGGGTCTTACTTGATAGCTTTCATTTTTGTCCTGAGGTCTGGCAATTACTGGCTTGCTCTATTCGACAGTTTTGCTGGCTCCATTCCTTTGCTAATAATTGCCTTCTGTGAGATGTTTTCAGTTGTCTACATTTATGGAGTAGACAGGTATGAAACACAAGTTAAACATCACTAGCCAGTAGTGTATATATTGAGTAGTTGTATAGCTGCAGTCCTGCTGTAACAAAGTGCATATCATTTCTGTTATAGAAGTCACTAGAATTATGCAACTGTAGTTTAGGGTGGCTTGTATGATTTAGGTTTCTAAAAAAATTCTCAACAAGAAGAAATGATGCTTTGTTAGGGATTTGGTTGGGATTTTTGTTTGTATATGAAAGATGTAAAGTCTCTCATTCATGCACTGTGACAGATAATCCAATGTAACAATCAGCTAAAATAAATACATTCCAAAAATGCTACAAGGGAATATCAAGCATTACCAAGTGCCCTAGAGTGCATAAATGCCACTGTAACTCCTTAATGTTGTAAATATGGCAACATTTACAGTAAGCCTTTATCAGAAGAACTGCATAAAATATTTCACTAGCCGAAGCAAAGCATAAGCACGCTGGCACTGAGCTAAAAGCTTAGAACACAGGTATATTCCAGGATTGTTTAAAGCAAATGCCAGATGTTACTGCCCAAAGCAGGCATCGCCATGCAGATTACAGATACTGCTTTACAACAGGATTTTAATCCAAGGCTACCGAGATATGTTCCTGCTAGACTCAAGACCTTATCAATTCCAGCAGCAAGTAATTATCCTAGCAACTTTTTAGAGACTTAGAAAGTTCAACTTCTCCATCTGCCCATTCATAATTAATACATAAGAAATAAATACATAAAAAAAAAAGTGTGAGGCCTTCAGTCACTCATAGGTTCTTGCTCAAATCTGTATCAGCCCAAGCTGTGCTGCTCCTAGCGATGGGCAAAGGACCTCTGGCCCCTGTTCCCACAATGAGACTTTAATGCTACATGAGGAGGTGAGAGTCTGCTTAGATAAATTAGCTCCCTGTCTCAGCTCCTCATCACCATGTTCCACACACACTGGTGGGCTCTCTGGCCTCCAAAGCCCTGAGTCTCCCACAAGATGGGGTCCTGCCTTGGCAGGAGCTGTGTAGAATGCTCCATCTGCATCCCTCAGAGCTTGGCAGGCAAGACAGAGCACTCTCCGCAGAGGGACAGAGGACATTCATTCAGGGAAAGGAAGGAAGTGGATCCAAATCTGGGTCTGAAAATTCTATTCAGGAATGCTGATTAGATCCCAACCAAGCTTCTTTAGTTTTGTTGGCTAATTAGGCTTTTGTGTGTGGCTGCAGGGGACCATGTGTGCCTAGCTAGGGAAGATAAAGGAATAATAGAGGCCTCAAACTGCAAAACTAGTTTTTATTTAATAGTGTGTGTGCACATAGCACTGCATTATGTGTGGGGGTCATAAACAGGGTTCAGGATTGTGCTCACAACATCTGCAATACAGGGATGGACTCTTCTTGGGAGAACATATTTGTTCCATTTTCTACTGTGTGCTCAATGCTTAACCTGAATGACATATTTCTAGGTGCCCTTAATGAGCAAGTATGAAGATGAAATACTACTCAAACCAAGAAAACTGATAGAAATCCAAATTAAGCAAGCATTATCCATAGAATGTAATTTTAAAAATTATTCCAACTTGCTTCTTTGGAATACTGTCTTTCCTTTTAATCGATGCAGCTCTGAGATGCTTACAAAAAAACCCAACCCTGAAACAACTACCTGAAACTCCACCTACACTATCTCTTATTCTGAAACTATTTCATATATGCTTCACAGAACTCTTGAAGAAAGTACCTTTCCAAAAATAATTTTCCTACCTTACTTTCGGGAAGTATGAATTAGAAACTTATAATTACAGTAATCTCTCCCCAAATTCAGGCTGTGTGTGTCCATCTTGGGTGTCAATGTCAGTCCTCCACTCACACAGACATCAGCAAAGCATGGGGAAGCACGGTTGAGTGTCACTTGAACTCTCCTGCTTCTGGGCCTGCTTTTGACCCTTATGCATTTTTATTGTCCTGAAGTTCCTGTTCTTGCTCCTAGGTTTAACAAGGATATTGAGTTCATGATTGGACACAAGCCCAATATATTCTGGCAGGTAACCTGGAGAGTTATCAGTCCTCTCATTATGTTAGTTATCTTCTTATTTTATTTTGTGGTGAAAGTCAATGAAGAACTGCTCTACAGTGTTTGGAATCCTGAATATGTAAGTATAAAAAACCAAAATATTTATTTAGAATTACTTGGTATCTCCTTCTTCAATGTAAGAGTCATAGTCAGTTATATTCATCTTTCATCTCAAATAGGTTTCAGATTAAAAAAAGTTAAAATACAAAAAGCAATAATAAAAAAGTAGCACTTCAAAAAATAAGTCCTAAATTCAGCTTTACTGAAGTGAACAAAACCCTCAACCATTAATCCAATTTTGAGTGGGGCCTCAACAGGACCACTTCAACAGATGTCTGTTGCACGGTAGGGAGCATAGAAGAGCTGGAAACATCATGAATTTTCTGTGTTGACAAAAGACCATGTCTGTGAAAGCATTTTGTATTGGTTACTGTGTCCATCTAAAAGCACAGAACAGCAACGGTGCTGGTTACTCATCACCGACAGAAGAAATTAATATTCTCCTAACCGGATTTCTTCTTTCGTCTTCTAAATATACTTGCATAATTTAAGTTACAGCACTAAATCACCTACTTTTCCTTTCTTCCTCTTGAAGAACAATAGGCTGTATGTGGTACCAGGACAACAGAATGAAAACAAAGATGAGGGATTCATCATTTTCTGCAGGACTTCATCTCCTCCTTGCTTATCTGTTTTTCTCTTCTCTGGCCTTACAAAACTGGAAACTGCTCTTGAATCAGCAAATCCATGTGCCCTTGTGGCTAACTGCTGCTGCAGTACTGTTTCTCTTCTGTTAAAAAACTGAATGCACATATTTTCGGGTATTTGCTCCTCTCACTTCATACAACTTACTTTATTCTTTCAGGAAGAGTTCCCAAAACCACAGAAGATTGGATATCCTGGCTGGGTCTATGCTATTATTGTAATCATCGCTGGTGTGCCTAGTTTGATCATCCCTGTCTTTGCCATCTACAAAGCCATCAGAAATTGCTGTCAGAAGAGAAGTGATCGTACAGGCCTTATAAGCTCAATATCTGAGACGTCTGTTAATGGCAACTTAAAGAATTCAGCATAAAAGCATGTAAAAATGTGGAAGAATGCCTTGCTAAGAAAGCCAAAAGATTTTCTTTAAAGAATTCAGAATCAAATTTATTGCCATAAAAGGATAACTATGTGTTGTTTCTACGTAAGCGCTTGCTTACTTAGGAATGCAAGATACCGTGAAGAAGTGATAGCTTGGATCCTGGGAGCCACATTTGCAAAACAGGCCAAATAATTTCTCCTGCTTCTGGTTTTGAAGCCAGTTTGTTTGAAACTGGCTTGGAGGACTCTGTCTGGGGATGCACTGCGCTTGGCAAGCTTTAAGTGACTCTTCCCTGTCTAAACATTCTGGTTGGGTGACCAATCTGAAGGGTAATTTATACTGACTTCTATTGCACGTTAAATTGTTTTTACTTTACATGCCACTGTGTTGCACAAAGCCACCACTATTATATCTCATTCAGAAGTTAAAAATATTTAATAAAAACATTTCTAAGAACTAGACAGATTGATTCATGTATAATTCTGGGTATTTTATTATTCTCCTGTCCAAGTTCCTAGCAGCCTCAAGTTGCACCACAGGAGGCTTATACTGGACATCAGGAAGGATCTCTTCACAGAGAAAGAGATCAGTCATCGGACAGGGCTGCCCAGGGAGGTGATGAAGTCCCTGCTCCTGGAGGTATTAGAAGATATGTGGCCATGACACTAAGGGACATGGTTTAGTGACGGGAGCCAGTAGGCCAGGCTTATGGTTGTACTTGGTGATCTTGAAGGTCTTTTCCAACCTAGACGATTGTATGATTCTCTGGTTCTATGATATCTACTCTAGAGGTTATTTTTAGACTATATCTACACTAAATAAGACAGTGAAGTACCAGGCAATATATTTATTTGCATTTCAACTTAAAAAATATATATTATTTGAATATTAAAAAATATGAATATGAATATTTATGGACGATAATAATCTGAATAATAATATCTGAAGGATAATTACAGCAAGAGTGGGGTTGGTCTCTTCTAGTGACAGTTGACAGGATGAGGGGAAATGGCCTCAAGTTGCACCAGGGAAAGTTTAAGTTACAGCAAGAGTTGTTAAGCACTGGAATTGGCTCCCCAGGGAGGTGGTTGAGTCACCATCCCTGAATGTTTTTAAAAACTGTTTGCATGTGGTGCTCAGGGACATGATTTAGTGGAGGGTTGTTAGAGTTAGGGTAGTATGGTTAGGTTGTGGTTGGACTTGATGATCTTTAAGGTCTTTTCCAACCTGAACAATTCTATGATTCTATGAATATATTTTATTTAAAATCTTTCAAGTTGCTATTCTGTAATAGGAAAGGCAGTCAGATTTTCCTAATGAGCTGAGTCTGAAGCAGCTGCAGGGGGCAGGGATGGAGGTACTGCCAGGACAGCCCGAGCACAGCACTCTCTGGTCTGGAGCACAACAGTGGTGGGGGGGAGGGTGGTGGGTGCTGTAGCTGATTTCTGTGACGTGGATGTTCTATAAAGGTGTGGAGTGTAAAACAGCAAAACCCTGGTATTTTGGAAAGAGAACATTAAAGTTTTTCTCACAGGCTTTCAATTGAAGGCAAGCACTCAGCTGTTACATTCCTCAGTAACTATTTAATGAAAAATAAAAATAGTCACTTGGGATTCATTGACAGGTGGGAAGTGATTAACCTCAGGCAGTTATGGTGAAAGCAGACAAGATTTTGATGTCTGAACATATATGGTCTTGTCTAGAGAACAGTCCCATCTTGGGTTTGCTTAGGAACAAATGTTGAAGGGATCCTCAAAGAGTCCCAGCCATAGTGTGTTGTACCTTTCAAATAATTTCTGTCAGTCACAGGTACGTGTGTGGATGTTCAGAGGGAAAAGCAATATGGAGGACAGCGACCTATGCAGCAGGAGCTGTGTGGCTGCAGCTGGTCTGTGTGTCCCAATGGCAGATCTTGAGGTGGGCAAAAAGCTACTGCAAGTACAGCCATGAAAACACACCTTTACCAGGTTCTATTTGAGGTTTTGGTGTAACAGCAACAGGTAAATCCAATTAAGACTAATTTAGTATTAAAAAAAAAAAATCACTTTTTGTACTTACCAAAGATGTCTTCAGTCACTCAGCTAACAAAGAGAAAAAGCCAATGCTTCCTTAATTCACAGATCTACACATCTTACAATGTTAATGTCTTAATGCTGTAAAGGTCTCTTTTTAATTATATTCAGCGTCACACTTCTTTGATGGTATCTGAGAACAGAAGGAGAACAGAAAATAAAAATCTGTTTGATCCCAAGTTACCCATTAACAACATATTCCTAAGTTCCCTAACTATAGAAGGAACTACAAAACATCAAGAGTAGCCACTCTGTCTATATAATAATAATTCCTGGTTTGGTATTTAAACTGTGGCACTTCCAATGACACATTCCTTTGCATTACATAAAAACAAAGCACCGCCTTTTTTGGAGAAACCCTTCTGTCATTCCCCATAAAACCTGCAGCGGAGACACGTTTTGAAGAATCTTCCCATTTATAAGGAAAGGGACTAGAAAGCCAAAGGTACTTCGTACTAGAAGATTTACCAATGGACACGCCACCTGAAGTCCCTAAAGAAGATGGCAGACCAAAGTGGGATAACAAGTTCCAGTATATCTTAAGTTGTATTGGATTTGCCGTCGGCTTGGGGAACGTGTGGCGGTTTCCATACTTGTGCCAGATACACGGAGGCGGTAAGGTTGAAGTGGGACTTTGCCAAAATATTAAGCCACGATTCCAATATAATTGTGCTAACTTATGATGGGCATGGAACTTACATATTTGCATCACTTTCTTTTTAGCTATTGAGTTCTCAAATTCTCATAAATATTTGGCTTTCTCTTTAGATTGGCTTTCTCTGTAGAAATACGTTTCGTTTTTAAAGGATGCATTTGTTTAGGAAATAAAACCAACTTGTTGCTCAGCTCTGACGCTGCTGCTACAGTCCTGATGGGAGGAGGAAGATCACTTGCAGCTTGCTACCTTTAGGAGAAGCCAGAAGTCCTGATAAGGCTTTAGTAAGGCAGTTCCCCAAACAGTTGGCTTAGCCAGGGAAACAAGAATCACTCCTCTCCCTTCTCTGCCACCTTCAGGAGGTAACCCACAAGCCATGGCTGAGTGAAGCTAAATGGCACTTTTTGATGGCTGTGAAGCTGCCTGAAATGCTTGGCTGATTTAACACAGGCAAGCTGATGCTGACACCTGCCTAAGCTTTTCTGTGGGCACCATTCCCATGAAGAATTGCTTTAGAAGCAGCCTATTTAGTAAATACGAACGGATCAGAAATAGTAAGCTCACTATTACTTACAGCAGCTTTTGAGAGGTACCATGGTAACTTGTCTCAAGCAGAGCGATGTAGCAAATTCTTCAAGCCCAGTTTTATTTGTTATCGTTCAATTTACAAGATAAGTACAAAATTCAAACTGAGAGAAACAGGCAAATGGCAGGAAAAAAAATGTTTCAATCTAATTCTATCAAGGCATCTCCATTGCTTCATGAACTACATATATTTGAATAAGCCAAGGAACCACAAACAGATGCTGCCATTAAAAGCAGGAGGTATTTTAGAAAGCAGCCACATAAGGACTCTGTGAGCATCTGAATGAGTGAAATCAAGCAGGCTTTCTCAGCATAAAGCATCCTGCCATGCACAAACACTGCACGGGGAAACAGAAGGAGATACTGCTACTGATGCTAACACAACCTTTGTGCCCATTTTTCATAATCAAGATGAAAAAAAATGCAGAAGATCCTCAAGACTTATTTGAGATCTGGAAAATGCATGGTATATGGACTGAGTTAAGCATCCAGCCCATTTAACTCACCAAGTTGAAAATGAATGAATCTCTTTGCCACAGTTTACAGATGAGGACATGGAAATTATTTTGACAGCAAGGAGGTCTTTAGCAGTGAAGATGTAACAGCTGGAAGCCACTGTTGCACTAATTCAAGTAAGAAAAAAGAAGCAGCAGTAGGTAGGTGTTTCTCAGGAGACCTTATACTTTATATTATTTATATTCAAAGATGGGAAACCCAGTGAAGCACTCTCAGCTGCTTACCATAACCAGGTGGCTAAAAAGCCATAGCTGTTAGCATGCTGTTTCTCTGTCAATTGAAATGACTGGAAAAAGCCTGTCACTGTAGCTAATGACACACACATAGTGAGGCAGGATACACGCTTTTAGAGGAACATCTACAATGCAGAAACAGTATGTGGCTGAAGGGGGGGTGTTCTGAAGTTGGACAAACAACCTGCAGCATCTCAGGTGGCCTGCCTGAGAGCAGGCAACTGAGCATGTCCATGAACCCAGCACGTCCAGAGCAGAATTTTTGAGTCCTGGGACAGCCTGAACAGCAAAGACAAAGCAACACACATCTCTTGGAAACAGCCAGCACTTACACAGATTCTTCAGGATTTCATTTTTCCAGAACTGAATTTCAGTTTTTTTCTCCTGTAGGTGACTCAGTATTTTTTGATCCCACTCTAAACTGCTACTGTGAGTGAAAAAAGGTACAGTCCTACAGCTCACTAAGCTCTAGGAAATGTGAACCAATGACCTGTGCTAATGACAAGGGAAAGGAAAGCTGCTTGGTGCCATGCTAAATCCTATGCTAGCATGTTTTCAAATGACTCATAAAGTTCGTCTTTAATTAAGCATCTTAACCACAGGAAGCCAGGAAATAAGTCTGGGCCCCTCTATGGAAAGTTAAAAACTTAAGAGAATGTGTAGGATGGAGAGGGCTAAGAAGAACACTGACAACACCTGGTAAGCCAGTGGCACGTCATGCTACTGCCAACACAAGTAGCTAACAACAGCCTGGGCAGGAAGGCAGTCACAGGTTTCTCTCTGCCTTTGGTTTCAGATGCTCAGTTCAGCAGAGATTGTGCTGGGCATGGCTTTTCTACTCCACCTGTTTCTGTGGTCCAATGCTTTTAGACTCAGACAAACCCAGTCTGATCTCTCACGTGCTCATGCCCAACACTTAAGGCAACCATTTCACAGTGAAAGAGACTGAAATGAATGAGGAAGATATGAAAGGGTACAAAAGTTATGTACACCACCCAACACTCTCCTCCTGCATCCTTGCCCTACACACTGCTCCCATACCAGATAGGCCACAAGACTGAGGGCAAGGACACCTTAGAGAGCACACTGTGACCAGAAAGTCTGTTTGCTTCTGTGGGCGCTGATATATCTCACAGGCACTGGTAGGACAAAAAAGGCAGGTCCTAGAAGAGTTTTAAAGATAATGAAAATTGGGAAAAGCTACAAGGACAAAGGCTGAGTATTCTTTTTCACTTCAAGAAGTCGTTTTATCAGTGAAAAAAAATGATAAAAAAGAGAGCAAGGAAGCAGAGTCTGTGACACCATCCAGAGTATTTAAGGGTGGTGAGGCACTGGAACAGGTTGCCCAGAAAGATGGTGGATGCCCCGTCCTTGGAGGCACTCAATGTCAGGCTGGAGGGGGCTCTGAGCACCCTAACCTGCTGTAGGTGTCCCAATTCGCTGCAGGGGAATTGGTAGGAATGGTCTTTAAGGATCCCTTCCAACTCAAATTGTTCTATGATACAGATACTCTGCATTACTACAAGCAGTGGCACAAAGACAGTGATGAATAAAGCTCAGTGTATGGTCACACGGCCAGTATTTGGTCATTGGATTTTAACAAAGGGCTCAGAGGGCTCAGCTGATGACTAGAACAATTTGCTGACAAAATTCTCTGGGATTGATAAATAATTCATCCTGGACAGCAGGTGTTGGGAGAATGTAAGTGATTGATGAAGACCAAAAAGAAGACAGAGCTGTTAGATTTACAAACGTGCCTAATGTGGTTGCATTTTCATTCAGCCAATTTTAGACAGAGATGCGATTTGGGGCTGCACTTTTGAAAGCAAACAACTCAGATGCAAAAGCCCAGTAGATCTTCAGGTGTACTGGAGTGTACCTGAAGATGTGAACAGCAGCATAATGGTTAACCATAAGACCCAAGAGGTGGTGGCTCAGCACCTCAGCCCCAGCCACGAGCACAGCAAAACCTGGTATGGAAATGTCATAGAAGATCCAGTCTATGGCTGAATGTCTTCTGGGTGTAGATCACATTTTCACTAATGATCCAGGTGTTTAAGAGTCAGGCAATGCACTTTTCCTCATTTCTAGATCTTTTAAAAAGCCAGAGATAAAAATAAGTGCTTGTATATTTGTTCCATGTCAGCTGTTCTCCTCAGACCTCTGAACCTTATTCATCGCACATTAGTGTTACTCAGTAACTTGGATCTAATATAATATCAGTTTTGCTGACATTTATCACCTGCTTTCGTTTACTGATTATTTGGATTTATTGCCTGAGTTAAGTTAGCTATTTACTTTTCATGACTAATGGATATGAAGGCTGTTTGCCACAGCAAGCGGAGACAAATACAAAGGTTCCCAGGCAACAGGGATTAAAAAGATGTTTCTAAATGGTCTGGTATATATTTTGTCACCTAGAACTGAGACTCAAACAGGTCGTATAGGCATATATCTACATACATATGTACATGCATAGACATCTGAAAATACTTTAAAAAACAAAAAAACAAAAAAACCTTCAACTAACATACTGTGAAGTGGTACCTGATTACAGCTGGTATGCACTGGTCTAACCAAGGGGTAATAAAAATTATGTGCGTAGTGCCTGAGCCCAGAGAATAACTGGAAAATGCCTTTAATATAAATCGTAGTTCTTTTTAGGAAAATAAATACACCCTAGACTCCTGCTAAAAGGAGATTTCCAGATATTCATAACCCATGGCCTGTCTGACCTTTTGCTAAAATTTGAATGACAACTTGCAAAGAAATGCAGTTGCTTGGCTCACTGCATTCAGAAGGAAATAATATCTGAAACAACACATAAGCCTAAAAGATATTGTATAAAAATAAACAGATAAAAAAAAAGTATATTGCAAAGAGCAGAACTTTTCACTATTTGACAGAACAATTAATTCAGTGATCACCTGCTCCAGCTTTTCACTGAGGAATTGAGCAAGACACAGTAATAGTTCAGGAAATTAGGTTTGCTTCTGGGCTCAATAAATGGAAAGAATCATCACTGTGAGGAATCACAAAACCCCAAGAAGCTCAGGTTTCTTGGGCTGTGTCCTCACGAAGAAGCAGTATGGGCCTGGAAGAGCAGGTCTGTGGAGCAAAGCAGCTGTCCTTGAGACCCAGCATCCATGCCATACACATCTGAGGGTACTATTTTTTAATTTCAGGCTTGCTTCAGCCTGAACTTGGTCCAACCAAAAGTTGATTTGTGGATGGAGTGCTTTACACACACTTCCAATAACAGGGCAGCTACTACAGTGACTGTAGAGCTCTCCTCATTCTAAAGGCTCTTTGCAGTTAGCAGCAATACGAAGCATGACATGCCAGCACTCCTCATTGCTTGGGGCTTTACCATAAACAGAAACAACTTACCAATAAGCCAACTCTACTGCATTTCTGTTGTGCCTGTGCTACACATCATATACACACTGATACGTTAACTATCTGTGTTTGGATGATGAGCTCTGTTTTGTGACACACACTCTGTGGTAGGTACCAACATGAAACTTCATTCTACTTCTTGCATTTTCCTCTTCCTAGATCTCTGATAGCAATGTTCAAAAGATACACAAGTTCTGCCTTTTAGCATATCCTCCTCTAAGGATTAAATAGACCCTTGATCATACAACACCAGTGGGTTCTTATTCATCATTAGTATTTGCCACCTTTTTTATTCTATGTGTAGGAGATTTTATTGAGAAGGAGTGCAAGCTTCAAGTGCTTGAGCAGACTGTGCTTTTCCTATTTTCCTTTTATCTAAAAACAAAAGCAAATAAATAACTAAGCCTGTGAGCTGAACCTCTACACTCTGAGCCACCTATTTGAATTTGGTTTGAGAAAGATTAGTTCCATGAGCTACTTTTAACCCAATCTTTTGCCATCTTTTCACAATTGCAGCTATCACACTTTTTACATTGCTTTCATGAAAAACAAATATTTTTTTCCCCTCAAAGCATGACATTATGTTGCAAATACAACTGGAGATGCGTACAAACCAACACAAAGTAAAAGGCCTTCTATCTGCAGAATATTCAAATGTGCTCTGCTGTGAACTAGCAAACAGAGGAAAGAGAAATAACACAGGGCAGTCTGCACTCATTACTGCAGGGTTATTTCCATGGAGGTATGATACAGGAGATCGGTGTCTGGTGGAATGGCTGCAAGGAAGAGCTCAGAATCCTCAGATTACTTGTTCAGGAGCCACCACCCAGAGATGGGACAGCCCAACCATTTGACTGCCAGCAAGGCAGGTGTGTTGCAGAAGTGGCTTATTCTGACAATCTCATCAGCCCTTGAACAAGAGCACAGGGCTGAGGGAGGGGAGAGGCTACAAAGCCCCTGGAAGGGCATGAGAGTTCCCTCAGTATTTATACAGTGACTGCCTCCAGTCTAGATTTCATCACTTCAGATAAATGAGCTGCTGTGGTTCCCACACTCCTCTAAATCTCTTGCTTTGTACCTGGGTACTTAAGAACCTCCTCCAAATAGGGGGGACTGCCAAGCAGGGCTCTCAAGCATGTCAAGTGGGGACCTCATGTCCTGAAGTCAACAGTGAGACTCCTCCAAATCTGCTTCTTAGTGTTAAAACATCTTAGGAAACCAGGTCACAGAGATGTTTGTTTCTACCTTTAGCAAATTAAGAGCAGTTCCTCACTGAAAGGGGCATCATGTATGTTTTTTTCCCCATTTATTTATTTGTAGAAAACTAGTGAATAAACAACTCACCTTGTCTGGGTGTTGCATATAGTTATTGCAATTATCTAGCAATGGGTAGCAAAATTATTGCAGTTTCTAGCTCGAAGTGATTTGATTTATATGCTCCACCTTTCTAAACAGTCATTACATAACAGAAGCAGCTCCAGGAAGAGCTCAAATCCATGGTAACTCCCCACTGCCTTTTTCTTGCCAAGGACTGCTGTGCTCCCTCAGCACTCTGGTAATGGCATAATGAGGTGCAGAATTGCCATTAGAGTGATGAAAGGGCACAGAGGTGGCATGAGCTGGTAGGAGGATAGGAAGGTGTGGACATAGGATTTCTATTTTTGTTTCCCCAAAGAAAAACTATTTTGTGGGCACAGTGACTGATGGCCATGTCATAGCACTAAACTTCCATCTCTTAGGCCATTTTGACTCAAGTGGACAGGTGGGCAAAAGGGATGAGCATGCCAGTGAGATGTCACTTGGTCTCATAAAGATCAGTGTCCGTGTAAAAAACAGAGATCCAAGGCAGTGCACACCATCATCCTGCAACAGCCAGAAGCAATGCTGTCTCTCACTCAACAGAGAGAAAGATGAAAGATGACAAAGGATACAAACCCAGATGAAACCAGATGTCATTGCTCCCACAGCTTACAGAACAGTTTTCGGCTTGTTTCCAGTTAGGCAGCACTATAGGTTCTTGTAAAATGTCATGCAGAAACTTTTTCTCCTAGGGGCTTCCAGTGCAAAGTCTTGCTTTGCCAGTGGGAAAGGGCAACCTCTCAGTTTTGGTCTGACCATTCTGCAGAAAAGAGATCATATAGAAAGACATCAGAATGGAATGGCACCTGCATTTCAAGAACTGTGGTAACTGTTAATGCTTTACAGAGGTTAGCCATTAAAACCTTTTCAGTGTTTAGAGCGCATACTTCCTGGCTTGTGTATCTGCTGCTATCCCCCTAGCAAAAGAAAGGGAAATGGTGGAAGGGGTGTGGATCCTTAGAGCTTGTGTTCACGAGATGTCGGAGTGCTGACGGGATGTGCCCTGCAGCATTAGTGGTCCTGGCCTTTCCTCCTTCATTACCACCAACAAAACCACCCACAATCAGCAGCTGTTCCTGGGCAAGCATCCACATCAGCATTGCCTTTCTCAACACTTCCTACAAAGACTTTGTTACAGCCATGAAGTAGAGGAGATAACAGCAATTTGAATGAGGTGCAGAAAACCGTGTGGCTTAATTGCACTTAATTATGCTTTCAGGGGCATTCCTGATTCCATACTTCATCGCTCTTATCTTTGAAGGAATCCCACTGCTGCATCTTGAACTTGCCCTAGGACAGTGCCTGAGGAAAGGCAGCATCAATGCCTGGCACACCATCTCACCTTACCTGGGAGGAGTCGGTAGGTATCTGGGCTGAAGGAACCATGGCTGGGCTCTCACTCAGCACTTATTTCCTGCAGGGCTGCACCTGACGCTCATCAGGATATCACTCCCATCAGGTGTCACTCCAGACAGATGGGAGCCTAAAATATGAACCTTTTAGCCTTTGATGTGGGTGCATGAGATAGGAAAGCTAGGGTGTGTCTTACTGTATGCAGGAAAATGGGATTGGTGCTGACAACTATGCCTGTGGAAAAAAAAGAGTAGGTAAGAAATCATTGAGGGGTAAGAGGGCAACTGGGAAGAACCACAAAGCAGGAGGATGGGACCTCCAGCTAGATTCTTCTCCTACTATTTAGCAGGTCCAACTTCCCTTTTCAAAAAAAAACAGCTAGCAGAATCTGTGGTGTTGATACAGAAGGAACAGAAGATAGTAGTTTAGTGTGTTTCTGCACAGTATGGAATAAAACAGTGCCCTCGTGCAGCTATATTGTGCTGTGAAACTTCAGTCTCTTTTGGTCTGCTGTTAAAGTTGTGTCATGTTGTAAAATAAATAAATAAATAAATACTGAATTATATGCTATGTCAAAGCACTCAATCCTCATCTTCTAGATAAATAGTTTAAACCTCAGACTTTTCCTGGACTAGGTAACATCCCACATATTTTGTAGGAACTGCGACAACTCAAAACCCAGTGTTTTAGAGAGACCATCTCAGGAAGATCTAATGTCTGTCTCAATTTTTACTTTTATTTTTATGAAATGAGCAGCATTCTGTACTTGAGCTTGTCCTACCTGCCCTATTTCTATGCTGGCTGCTCAGATTCCTGGTAATCAGGAGCCAGTGGCTCAGTCTTCACCTGCTCTGAGCAAAGTGTCATCTCCATCTGGAAGCCACAGTGGATAAAAACCCTGCCTAACTTTGACCTCAAAGCAAGAAACCAAACTACAGATTTAGTGGGATCCCTTCCAGTATGAATTTTCCTAGGCTCTATCCAAATGTGAAGCCACTTTCAGAAGTGGGCTGGCCAAAAGTCAGGAGTTGGGTATGCCTCTCTATCTGAAGAGGACTCTATGGCTCAGGCAACCTGAATGTCTGAGCCCCAGCAAGCCAGAACTCTTAAAGAAGGCAGCTGTTTCTCACATTTTTCATATTAGACAACCTCAGTGAAGTCACAGAAAACTTGTTTCCGTCCCTACAGCTGAAAGTGACTCTGGCACAAGCTCAGATGTTGCCTCTTAAGTGCTTATAGAGCTGAGTGTTAAAGGCCCAAAGCTGCGGGTCCTATGTCTCCTGTTTTTGGTGCCACAGAGCCCTACTCTTAGCATTTGTCACCTACTTGCTCAGGTGGCTGCCTGCTGCCACAGAGTCTCCCAGAATGGAGAAAGGCTGAGCCCAGGGCACGAAGCAGAGGAGCGCCAGCCTTCTTACAGCAGCGCTGGTGGAGCCAGGGGCTGCGCATCAGAGCCGAGGACACAAATACACATCATCCCTTGTGAAGATCTCTGAAAGAAAAAAAAAAAAAGATCTTGAGAAATTAGGAGATGGGAGATTCTAAGAGTAAGTGCTGTGACTGGTAACTTTTCCCTGGTTTTCTAAGCTGAAATCTGTCATCTGCAGGGGTTGCTTCATTGATGGTGTCGATTCTGGTGAGCTTATATTACAACACCATTCTAACCTGGGTGATGTGGTACTTCATCAACTCTTTCCAGGAACCCCTTCCATGGAGCATCTGCCCTCTAAATGAAAACAGAACAGGTAACTGCTGCTTCAGTGTCACTGCAATTGGAGCATCACAGACATTAGAGCCTGGGGAGTAGGGGGAAAAGGGAAGATTGGTTTACTTGTTTTGCTGACATGATAGCACAGGGACAATTTGAAAGAACATCCTGTGCTCTCTGACTATGGAGAAACAGTCTTTTATCAAGGCACTCATGACTGTCACCATAAACTACATATCAAGACATATGAGACTGCTGACATAACTGCAAAGCAAATTTAAGACATCTTTCAGTAATTGGTTTAAAGGAGACTTGTGTTTTCATTGGGTAGTGATACCTTGGTTATTACAAGCCAGAAAGTCTGCTACTCCTTTGATTTCAGAATAAAAAACGAGGTTTTTAAAATAAATAAAATAAATAATAATTTTTGAGATGGCAGAGAAACTATTTGAAGACAATTAGTTACACATTACCCATTACAAAAATACTAGTAAGACTTAAAAAAGCATATCTAAAGACTGAATAAAAGATAAAGACTGTTCTCTGTTCTTTAAAATGACTTTTTGGCTTTTTTTGAGTAACATTTCTTTACCAAAATTGTCTTTTTTTTTTTTCATGATAAAAAAATATACTGCTAAACTTGAATGAGACTGCATGTAAAAACAGCAACCCTGCTGCTCTCCACTCCTGTAGAGCATTGTTTCCTTGTGATGCAGTGAGTGGCAAAATATTACCACATTTCAACGTTTCTTCTTATGCACGCCATCCTTTTTCAGGGCTCAACAAAGAATGTTATGAAAGTACTGCAGTCAATTATTTTTGGTACAGGAAAACTTTGAACATAACACCTGACGTCACCGACAGCGGCACATTACAGTGGTGGCTTGTTTTGTGCTTAGCAGCTTGCTGGGCAATTGTGTATCTCTGCACCATTCGAGGGATTGAAACCACAGGAAAGGTAGGCGAAGGACACAGAAGTAAACAGCTCAGGCTCTTATCCTGCGCTTTGGATGTCATTTTCCAGAGTTCATCAGTTTCATCAGTTTCAAGTACCACTTTAGACCCATTTCACTGTGCTCCTTGTCCAACTGAGTGGTAACAGCAGCACAGATAGCTCAGAAATATGCTCCTCTCCTTTTCCTTTGCAAATGCTTCTTGCCCTACTACTTCCCCCTCACTGTTCTAAGAGTATTTTTTATTTTTAAGAAATTATTACTAAATACTATTGAAGTAATTTATAATTTTTAACCATGCTCACTTGTAACTGTTTTATCTAAAAATATTAGGATGGCACAAGGCAAAAACTTAAAAAAAGATCCATTGATGTTACTCTTAATAACTTTGTCTTAATTATCACTTTCTGACTAGGCAATTTATGTAACAGCAATATTTCCTTACTTGGTCCTAACTATATTCCTTATTCATGGACTCAGTCTACCAGGAGCCACCGAAGGTCTAGTGTACCTTTTCACCCCTAATGTAAGTATTACCATGATGGTCAGAAACACTACTTTTCCTTTTTCACCCCTCAGATCTCATGCTATACATTCATTTTGAGGTTCTCTCATTTTTTTTCTCATCTTCTCAAAGGGGTAGGAGTCTTAGGTCCCTTTATATGCTGGTCATTTCAGATGGGCCTCTTTACACTGCGCAAACTCAAAGTTAAATTGGACTGCCAAGTGCTTGCTGTGAGCTGTGGGCATCCTCATTGCTCTGCCTCAGCACTAAAAATCACCGTAAAGCGGAGAGTTGAAAAGAAGAAAGGCAGCACCCACTGATAGAGCAACCTCTGAGCTTGGCACACAATTGCAGAGCTGGCCTTCAAGGCCCCAGCACCTGCCCTGTGAACACCATACCCCTCCTCTGCGGTCTCAGTGCCCACAGGCAGCCTTTGCCTTACTGAACATGTCCATCCTCTGCTTTTCTGGGGAAAAAACTGACAAAACTAGTGTGGAAAAATTCACTGATGAGTTACCAGCAATGGAGAGGTGTAAGACCATCACTGTTGCTTGACTACACAGCCCTGATTGACTGACACTGAAGATGTTCTTAGACTTCCTAGGGATCTGGTGTCACCTCGCTTTCCCATCTGTTAAGGTCTAAAGGGAATACTGATTTCACTGAAAGGAGCACCACTCTCCTGTTCTGAAGGCATTTGTTGGCTGTCAAGGCTAGATGTGGATAAGCCACATATTCTGTAGGTAAGCTCACACATTACATTACATAATTACATACTGCTCGAGTGGGGCAAGTCCAAGACCTTTTCCCCTCCCAGCAGGGATACGCAGTGGTGTGAGAGGAATGGGCTTGTACTGCTGGCAGTACTCCAGGTGCCCAAATGGCTTTGGTCATGGTTTTCAACCTGAAAAATAGAAAACCACGCAACTCCTATGCCAAACTCCTATGATAAAGCAGTGGAGAATGGGTACTTGGCCAATTCAGCTGTAAGAATAAATCAACACCAGCATCCTGAATGCCATCCAGGTGATTACGGGCTCTGAACTGTAGCAAGGAGCAGTTGGGCTCTCTCCCATGGCAAAGTAGTAATCAAGGTGGCAAATCATGCTGAAAGAGCATGAGGCCAAGGTATGTCTGTCCCATCTTTAACTCAGCCCACCAAGCCACAGCTCAGAAATACTGGATATTTTCCTCCCTAACCCTCAGGTTATCAATGCCCTGTTCTTCCTCAAATGTAGGAATTTTAATCTCCCTTTCTCGCTCTCTCCTGTCCCTGCCCTCCAGCCTATGAAAGTAAATAAGCTGTTGGATATGTTCATACAGGTTCCTCAGAGTATCTAACCAAAAACCTCTTTAGATTTCTCTACAAAGCCTCTTTTCCTCTGCTCTCTCACTTGCTAATAATTCTTTTCTCCTTCTCTTTTTGGGATTCACATTACGTTGGCTGTTTGATCTGAATGACTTTGTTTTATTAAAAAATATTTTCCAGTGTAGAGGGGCCTGCTCTTACAGGCAGCAGAAAAAGGATTCCATCAAGCCTTTATGGGGCTCAGCTTCCATGTTTTTCTGCGTCTGCTCAGGAGTACAAATACTTCTTTTTCCAGCCTCTTTCACATCTGAAAGATTTTCAAGGATTGTAAATATCTGGGGTGTTCTACATCAGTGAGTGCTTACTTTCCACATTACTCCAGCATTCACTTGTTCACATTCTGATTTGATATCTTCATCTATCTGTTTCTAGTTACAGCACATTTAGTCTTTTAAAATCCTGCATGGCAAATTACTGAAAATGCAAAATAACTTTTAGGCTCTTAATTTTGGCTTATGATCAGATAACAACCTTGTCACGATGTTCTAAAGCTGAGCAGTATTGCTCAACTTACTGCACATGCTGGATTTACAAGGGTCTTTTCTAGGAGGTCTCAGTACAACCCCCCGAAACAAAGGAGGGCCCAACAAAATGCAGTGATGTTTGGACACAAGTACATCAGTACACTGAGTTGGTCACGACACTTTTCACTTGCCTTTCTACTGATTGTTTTTTCAAACTTTGAGGTTGATTAGCATGTTCCAGTGTCAGTGCATTGCATCTCACACCAAGCTACACGAACTCCAACCTCATATGCTGGACGACCCTACTCAGGAAAGACGGGTTGGTCTTTCCTGATAGATCCATCAGGATCCACCAGCAATTGGATCTATCAGCACAAATCATTGGCTTGGCAGCACACAGGCCAGGCAACAACGTGAATACTTCATTTCTGCATAGCAGTCTGTTTCTGGATGTGCATAAGCTCCTGTCAGTAAGCACTTCAGCATTGGAAGGTTTGGTTAAAATCTTCCAAAGTAAATGTCCTAACAGATCTGTTAGCCTAAGCTGAAGCATTTCAGCCAGCAATGGTTCCATGTATTTGCTCATTAAACTATGCTGTATGAAATGTAACACCTGTTTTCCTGTGGTCAAAGCACTGTCACACACACTGCCACAGCATATGTGGTTCATCCAAAATGAGGGGAATGCATTACTGTAATCCTTCAAGCTCAGACCATCTGTAGAGATACCCAAAATACTACAACCTTTCTTTGGCACACTCTTAGTCCTACCCATGACAGTGGTGTACAGGGTCAACAGCCTAGAGATGTAGACACGACACACAAAACACACAGTTCAGCCTGAATGACTGAGACGCCACATTTCTCTGTGCTCAGACTGATGTAAAACAAAGTGATGCACTCAACTGCCCAGGTATTACTTGTGGGGCAAATGATATTTAAAACACCAGCTCTTAGCTGATACTCTTTCTGGTCCCACAAGTTGATACGGGATTGGAAAGTAGTTGACCTTGCAGACAATGAAAATAACGTATTTCTTTGCCAAATACAGGAAATATATATTCAACACATCTGTATTGTGCACGTTACTAACATTTTTGCTTTACTTTTAGACTAATTTTAATGGTAAACTTTAATCCAGTGATTTACTTAAAATTGCATACTGCTCTTCGTAACAAAAAAAAAAAAAAAAAAACAGATTTTTTTTCAGTTAATTTCCTCTATGAAATCTTCCCTTCTTAAATCAAATTCCAAATTTCACTCTGTTAATTTTCCCTTTTTCCTTCTTTTTCCTATGCTACTTTGCATTTTTGTTTACATAGCAGTTTGAATTTAAGATGCACATTCTATTTTTTTAATGAGTATTCAATTCTTGCACTTTTAGATTTTTTGTTGTTGTTTAGTTTGAAGGTTAAATATTTGTACAGTTTGAAGAAGATAACAACCTCAGACTGTAAGTTACTCACTATGTATAATAACAGGAAGAAACATGTTGAAGAAAAATGTAACGTACTGTCTCCATTGTGTGCCTATTACCTGTGCAGAAACACTTCTATTATCAGGCAGAAGAGCTGCATAATTGCATTAATGAGTTTTAAAATGAAACAGACTTATACACATTTTTAATGTGCCTTCAGAAACATCTGCTCAAATGACATATTTTGAACTAATTTCCACTTTCAGTGTACATAGATGGCATCACAACTCACAGTTTCACACATGTGAAATAGAGCAGCCAAGGGAACAGAAAGTTTAATTCCTAAATAATGCATTCATTCCAATTATTTCAGCTGAACATCCTGAAAAATCCCCGTGTGTGGCTTGATGCAGCCACCCAGATTTTCTTCTCTCTTTCTTTGGCTTTTGGAGGGCTTATTGCGTTCTCAAGCTACAATCCATCAAAGTAAGTGGAACTGTGACCTTTACAACTTGGATAGGCTCTTGCATCACTTCATGCAATTTTCTAAAATTTTCAAAATGTGGCATACTTTTAGGGGATCTCAGCAGCTGCTGTCCTTCCAGGTTTTAGTGATCTATTTTACCATTTTAACAATTTTTTTTTTCTTATGCTCAGCAAATATATTTTGTATAGATTAATTTTTTGCCTACCACACTAATCGTTAATGTGGAAGTCTCTTCTACATCATGGAGGGGGTGTGGATAGATAATACTTTTTTAGCCAATTTGCTTATTTGAATTCTACTTCTAGAAATGACTGCGAAAAGGATGCTGTGACAGTAGCAGTTGTGAACAGCATAACATCCCTCTATGCTTCCATCCCAGTCTTTTCTGTTCTGGGATTTAAAGCAATCACAGGCTATTGGGACTGCTTGGACAGGTGAGAAACTTCCATTCCAGTGCTATATACCGTAGTTTCTACACCTAAACAGATAATGTGTTACTTCAAAACATGCATTTCACTGAAAAACATCCGTATGGAGAAATCTAATAGAGAAATATAGATCACCATGGCACTGAGGAAAGAATGATCACAATAGCATTTGTATGGAATAAAACATTATAGAATAATATACTAGAATTAGTGTATATAAAAACCCACAAATTAAGGATCACATATTAAGCTAGCATTAGAAATAGTAAAAATAAAACATTTTTCTATTCCACAGGATTTGTTATTAAACACAAGTGGTGGAAATGATGTGGACGTATAAAATAAGACTTGAAATATATTTTAGAGATCTGTGTAAAGTACTCTGAATTTGTATCTCAAATAAGTATTAATGAATATTTTCTCCTAGCCATTTACAAATGATATATATTTATTTTATATATATAAATACATTAAAAATCTGTATATAGGAGGAAATATATATCCCTCACATATATATATTTTATAGATGAATATATGTTATTTATAGAAATATGTAAAAATATAGAATATATATATCCTCGTATAATTATTTATATATATATATAAATATATATATATATCTATACATATAAATACTTAGGAAAAAATTGCATACATGTATATCCTTGTATAATATTTTCTTTTATGCTATAAATAACAACACTGGAAGTAAACAATTTTCTATCAATGTTCAAATGCGTAACATTTGCACATGTTGGCTTCTCTGTCAGGAATATTATCAGTGTCATCAATGAATATGATCTTCCAGAACAAAGCATTACACGACAGAACTATACAGACTGGATCACCTTCCTGAATTCATCAAATCCAAAAAAACTCGCCGGTCTCAAACTGAAAAACTGTGACCTTCAAGAATTTCTTGATCAGGTACCATAATTGCTTCTCACAAAATAATCCTTAAATAAATATATATATATATATATATGCAGATAGAAGGACCAGCCACTTTGTTTAACTCACTTGTAATTTAGTTGCAATTAATATTTTTTATGAAATCATAACAATTTCAAATATCAGTACTACTGTAGGGCAGCGTGAACTCAAAGCGACCTCATACGGTATTCAAAATAGTACATAATAATCATAGGATTAGTGTTCAAAGGGACTCTTACACAGAACATACACAACGGACACTGGATTTAGTTCTACTCCAGTTTAGAGGAATAGGCCCAAGAGAGAAAACACAGCTAGCTGAAAGATTATAGAGAAAAGGTGCTGAATGAGAGTTTCCTAAATCCCTATTTGGCAACTGAAGTATCAAAACTACATTAAAACATACACTGTTTGCCTCTGATCCCATACCTGTGCAAATACAAATTCTGATCTGTGACTGTCAATTCATACCTTATAGATCATTTAAAATTAAAACAGAGCTCTTCATTCCTACTCCCACAAACATTTCCCACAACTGATTTCCTCCAGTGCTGACTGCTACATAGCCTGCTAGACTAGCCAGCATCCTTGATTCCAGAGAAGGACACAACATAAGAGGTGACAAAGTTAAAGCTTCACAATTTCCACTGGTTTTACACAACTTTTTGATTGTCAGATGCCATATTGTCATATACTCTGGTATAAAAATTTGTATCCCTTTTTGACCTTAAGAGGCCAGCTTCAGAAACACATTTACAAACTGTACAGCTTATTCAGGTGCAATGACCAGAAACAATCACTCTGATTATCTTGCCTAGCACAAACCCTAAAAACAATAGCATTCTCAATTATTCTTAGTTTAAGTCAAACTTGAACTAGACTAGGTATCTCAGAAAATAATACAAGCTGAAATTCTGATGTTGAGGTTCAGAATATGAAGATACGTGCGTGTTACAGAATCACAGAATCATAGAATAGTTTAGGTTGGAAGAGACCTTAAGTACCACTCGGCTCCAAGCTCCAGCCATGGGCAGGGTTGCCACCTGCTCAGATCAGGCTGCCCAGGGCTTCATCTGATTTTAAACACCTTCAAAGACGGGGCACCCACAGCTTCTCGGGTCTTGAGAAATTACATTTAGCCCCTTATAACATTTATTTGAATTTCTTTGTGAATTCTACAGAGCGTATCAGGATCTGGCCTGGCTTTCATCGTGTTCACTCAAGCCATTATCCTAATGCCAGGCTCACAGGCCTGGGCCATCCTGTTTTTTGTAATGTTGTTCAGCTTGGGCCTCTCTTCCATGTTTGGAAACATCGAAGGAGTCTTCACTCCTCTTCTAGAACTTCAAGTTATATCTAAATCAATACCTAAAGAGCTTCTGTCTGGTAAGGTATTTGGTTTGCTTTGTTCAAAGAAGGTGACTTCTGTATAGATGCATAATGATCAACTGCTTAGTAAATATTGTAAAGGGATTAAGAATTTGTAATATTAACTTAATTATTGTGCAGTGCTAGTCAAGGTAGTGGATTATATTTGCAGAAGATAAAGACATAGATGAGGTAGCACTTTGGCATATGGTATCACATTGCCCTTGCCATTGTTCTTAGCTTGCAAGAGGTCTTTCAGTCAGTGAGCGCTCATTTAATTACTGGGACTGGAGCCAAGCTTGCTCTAAATTGTTGCAAACATCAGGAAGAGCCTCGTCTCCACTGTGGCCTTCTGACAAGAAGACAGTATTAAGGTAACAAGTGACATCAGCCAGTCTGCCCAAGAACTTGCTGTACCACAACATTAGCATGACTGTAAGACAGATCACTCACCCAATTTCATTCAGAACTATAGTACTACCAATTATTTTACATTTACTGAACAGATAATGAGGAATGACTGCTTACTGTTCAAAGCTAGAGCCTCTTCCAACTGAGACACCAAATCCAGCCTTCTCTTCAGGAATTGGGCTCTGAGTTGAATTTGTTCATTTTGGCTTTCTTTGCTGAAACATAAAAGCCTGCATTAGCAAAAAGAAACAGAAGAGAATAATAGGAGAGATCCTACTGGATTGGTCCAGAAAAAATTCAGCAGTTTCAAGTAATGGATTAACACCTGTCTACTGTATCATTTTAAATTAATACATGGAATATTGCTACCATGCCTTTTCTAAAGTCTTGCTGGGGCACCTAAATTAGATTCTTCTAATTCCACAACTTTTTATGTAAAAAAACCAAATCTATCTGCAACTTGATGAGGTAACCATCCATATGCATGTACTTCCATCTCGGGACATAAGGAGGTATCCTTCTCAGCTCTAGGTGCTTACCCACCACAGGTCCCAGCTGTTTATGTAGACCAATGACTGCATGAACATGAGAACAGCTAAAGCTCTCTGCATCAGTCAATAGGCAACATCCAAAGACTACCACAAGGCAAGGCACAGTGCAGAGTACTTGCTTGGAACTCTAGTAACTGAAGAATATTTGTCACAGGAATGCTTTCCTCATGCAAAAGAATCGTGTCTTTGGTCACCACAGAGGAGAAAACTGAGTTTAGGAAATGGTATCAAGTAGGTCCATATAGGGAAAGAGAATAAAAGTTACTCAAACACAAGTAAAAACAATTTAGAACAAAAATGATCTCAATTTCTGTCCTCCAGTAACAAAGGTATCTCTTTTTCTTCAGGTATAATATGTCTAGCTTCCTTCCTTTTTGCTCTGTGTTTTACACTGGGTTCAGGGAGTTACTGGATTGACATTTTTGATAGCTATGCAGGCTCAGTGCCTCTTCTAGTTATCGCTTTCTTTGAGGTGATTGGGGTTGCGTACGTCTATAAAATTAAAAGGTAAGCTGGAAACTTTTTTCTCTTAAGAGGTAAATTTTCACTCTGGTATTTGAGTCCTGATATCTGTTGGATTAGATGCTACAGAATTGCTGTAACATGTTTATTACTCACTATAGTTAGAAAACTTACTCAGGTTATGTAAACTGACATAGCCACATTCATCTTTGGGGGGAAAAAAGTTCTAGTTCCACTTTCTTAAATATTATGAACACTTACAGCAAGTAGGAAAGGTATGGAGTAGAAAAAATTCAAGGAGTTGTGTCACATTTAAAACTTACAGAAAGACTACAAAAAGAGAAAACAAAATTGTTACCCCTAAGCTCTGACATCTTTATATACATGTCTCCTCTTAAGGTTCAGTAAAGATGTGAAATGGATGACTGGACGAAAACTAAATCTCTACTGGCAAATCACATGGAGGTTTATAAGCCCTCTGCTCCTGCTAATTGTCTTTGTGGCCTTTGTTACTCTCCAAATACAGAAGACACCAACCTATGCAGCCTGGAACCCCAAATATGTATGTTCTCTAATATTTGCAATACTTAACAGAAGTGAATGTTTTTCTCTCCCATCGGATCCTTTAAAATCATCGCTGTTCACACAGTGTAGTCTGAAGTGATAAAATGCTCAGATCAAGAAGGCTCCAGTATGTACAGACATTACAAGGTTACAAATAATATAAAATGGCTTTCCTGTTATCAAAGTCTTCTTTCAGAGAAGTCTTGTGTCACCACACTCCATACCTCTCAGAGATGCACGTGATGCAGACAACTGCTAAAGTGAAATGTCTCACAGAGACTCCACATTTTCATAAGTGACTCGTGTATAGTAGAGCTTCAGAGCTGCATGACAAATACCAGGGATGGAAACATTTTCAGAGGCTCAGGGGAGACCTTATTATCTCTTAACAATGACATGGAAGGAAGTTGTAGCAAGGTAGGGGTCAATCTTTTCTCCCACATAGCAGCAGTAGGACAAAAGCTTTACAGTGTGCCAAGGGAGGTGCAGGTAATGTATCAGCAACAATTTCTCCTCACAAAGAGGGGTGAGGCACTGGAACAGGATGCCCAAGGGGGTGGCAGAATCACCATCCCTGGAGGTGTTCAAGAAACATGTAGATGTGGTATTTTATGACATTGTTAGTGGGCTTGGTGGAGAATGGGTTGATGGTTGGACTAGATGATCTTAATGAACTCTTCTAACTTGAATGATTCTATGATTTGCCTTGAGAACTACTGATACCACTGGGACACTGATGAATGTATGACTGTGTAACTTGGACAGACAAGGAGGCAAGGAGGCAGTGGTCCAAGAACAGTGCTGGTTAATTCTGTGCCAAAGTCTTGCTGATGTTGAAAACACTCAATCTGAACAGGGGTGACTCGTGTCAGTTGCAGCTTCTTGTGTCTCTCTCAAATAGAGCCTGTGGAGGGGGTCAGAAAATCGATTCCAGCCTTACACTGCACTCAGATTGCAGTAATCCTCAAAGATTGTCATGAGCCTCTGTAGTGTGAATAGAGGCAGAGACTGGAATAAGATCTACAAAAGAAAAACTATTAAAAAAATTTACAGTTATATTTAGACTCACAAGAAGTGAGGCCAGAGGATATGGCCACTGAATGCTATCATAGAGGAAAAATGAAACTTCTGCTATCTTTAAACATATATGGAAATCATAGAAATGTAAGTGCCCTAACGACTTTATTTATTTTCACTTCTGTGTTTGTTTTTTTTTTGTTTGTTTGTTTGTTTTTTTAAATCTCCATAGGAACACTTCCCTGTGAAGGAACAGAAAGTCTATCCACCTTGGGTACAGGCCATCTGTGTGCTTTTGGCTGCTCTTCCTTGTATATTTGTACCTCTGGTAGCAGTCATCCATCTGATCAAACGAATGTGCAGAAGGAAGGACCCAAGCCTTGTAACACCCTAAATGTTTTCATGTCAAGAAGTTAACAGCAACTTTCCTCATTCCCCCGAAAAATAAATATTCTTTCTGTCTGTAAGTAAAGATGACAGCTTTTGTTAGACATGATGTGTTACTCAGCTAATATGGTTAACACAGTTCTGCTTACAGCCTACCATTAGCACTCGATAACAGTGCTGCTATGTTCCCTTTATTTTCAACCAATTTCACAACATTTGTTGCACCTGCATCCTGTCCTGAATCCTACCTACCAAGAAGCACCAGTTCCACTACCTTAATTCTATTCACACGTTACCAATTTCATGTCTCCCTGCAGACAGATTTTACAAACCTTGAAAGCCCACCAGTTATTTCAAGTGTCCTCTGTCTTTCTTCACTTATTCCAAATAAATGCGGTTCTTAAGGATAAACAACATAAAAATTAAAACCCATTTTACAACATTTTCTTTCACCAATCCCCCCACTTAGAGAGCTGGAATGAAAGCTCATGAAGGGGACTCCTTGCTTAGTCTACTTTTTGCAAATTCCTTTAATGCATTTAAACAGTAGTTATTTTATGATTATTCTATAATCTCAAGCATTACAAATAAAGCATCAGCAGTTAAAAGAACATGCACTAAGCAAAGCTGAGTAATTAATTTTGCACAAACATCTTAGCTAGCACATTCCAGGGTTTACTGTAGTGGAAAATACTGTGAGAACAAACATTCCCAAAGATTAATCCCTACTTTCTCATATTAAACATGATAAATGACTACTGTGATAGAAATGTTTGGAAGCGTCCTAGTGTGCTGCAACGTTACATGACCATGAAATACATCTTTACTTAAAAAGAAGTTACCTTCTACTCGCCTGCAGATCCTGGCCATTCTGATGGGAGACAAGGGTTCCCCTTTGCAGACATACTTTTGAGCAACCAGTAGCCTCTGAAAAAAGACTGGGAAAGCATGGGAGGGTAAGGCATGACAAAGACTTAGGTGGAATAATTAATAGAGCCAAGAAAGATATAGGGATTTTGAGAATAATGAACACAGTTTTAGTATTTAGCCTTGTGATAGGCTATGTATTAATAGAGCTTTATAAGGGATAAAAGGGATTTGAACAGAAGTTGAAAAAGAACAAAACCAACTCAAACCCCTCACTGACATGTTGCTTCTCTCCATGAAAACACACCAGTTTGCAGCTGATTCTCTAGCAGCGTGGAAACAGAGTTGTCTCTGATTCCTTTGCAACAGCCTGAAGGGTCACAACAATGGAGGCCTCATGGAGGCATGACCTTGACAAGACGATGACTAAGAGACACGAAGGAAGGAGACAGGCCCACTTGATGGATGAAAACAATGGTGAGGGAGAGCTGCGTCTTTCACAGCACTTGTTGGCACGGGTACTGACTGCCAATGCTATTTCTGTGAGAAAGTCAACAGCAAACCACAAAGCCTAATGGAGAGAGCCATGCTGAGAGGATCCAGAAGCTCATGACAGTTTTTGCTCAGATATTAATATTGATCCACTGTCAGTGGAGCTAGACTCTCCAGGCAATCCATTTCAAGTCCAAATGCCTTTCCCAACCACACCAACTCTCACTAGATGTGTCAGAAACTTGACAACAGCTAATTCAACCTACTCACTCCCTAAGGTTACCACTAAAAGCTCAAAGCAGTACTACAAGGGCAATCTCCCTGTTAGTGAGACATGGTGTGCAGGAACAGGACATAATGATTTGCTCTAACAGAAGAGTTGGAGAGATCTGACAATCCTCACGCGCATGGCTCTGACTCCTTCCTGCTCCTGGGCTCTATAACTTATCCCTGGATGTGCCCCTCTTGCAGTCCTAGTTACATCAATAACAGCATTGCTGCCTTTGGCTGCTCAAGACATTTCTCCTGTTGTAATACTAAAATAGAAAAGAAAATGCCAGAACATCTATTTTTTATAATACTTCTGCAAACTGCTGACTGCTTTTAGAAGGGTTCATTGCTAAAAGTGAGCTTAGGGGCATCAGAAAATAAAATTATAGAAAAATAGGGGAAATTATGCACATAACAGATAACTAACTACACATCACAAATGAAATTTGAAAGGTTATGAGCTAAATTAGATTTCCATAAAGAATAGTCTCAATAAAATCTGTTCATATAAAAACTAACTACGTAAATAGAAATTTTAATTAAAGTGTACACTATACATTCATATGTTTGATTACAGATAGATGTTCATTAAAATCACACACGCAGGGGTATGTCGTCAGGCTTAAGATCTTGGTCAGAGATATGCCCACAACAAAAACTGCAGCTAAATAATATAGACACATGCTGAGAAAATAGTGAAGCTATGTCGAGTCACTGTCATGACACAGACAGTGGAAATTTTGAACTCCTTGACTTCTGAGCTCCTCTTTATAGCTCCTCTGATGCCAAAGTGCATGGATCACTGGACATATGCTTCAGTCTGCAAAAGGAGGCAAAGGAGAGAGACTTTTCCTCTCAGTAACTGAAGTTCACAACAGGGAAATGCACGAGGTTAAGTTACTTTTTAGCTGAAGTAGGCATGTAGAAAATCTGCTAAACAGCTCCTTCAGGAACACTGCCTTGCTGTTCTTGTGCATTTTGGATGTGATCTATACCAGAATTCCTGTGCTAGAACTGTAGCTTCATTTCAGTAAATTTTAGTGCTACAACCCCCCCTCTCCTATTCACAGAAAACATGGTATTTTATGAGGACTTGTTCCCTTAAATAGCATGACTGACTTTCTCTTGAGTAGCATAACTGAATAAGTCTTTTCCTAAGACAGAATAGAAGAGGATAAAATTCTTTGGGCAGGGCTGCAAGTAGAGCTTGAGAGTAAATCAGTATGAGACAGAGCTACAGCCATTGTGATTTTCAGCCCCAACAGAATTTCTAGCCTTAAGATATGAATTTGTATAACAAACTGAAGTATCTACTAATACAAAACAAACAAAAACCCCAAACAAAAACAGAGCAAGAGCACTGCAACTGCACCAGAAATGAGGAATCTTCCAAATGATCCTAAAACCGAGAAAACCTGTAGAGGACCATACTCCTTCTGGAACACAAGCATTTCCCTACAATGCAAAATTTCATACCTACCTCAAAATGAAATTCACAGTCTGAAATCCCTTTCCAACAGGAAGCAGTAAGGATATCTTTGAAGCATGTTGATGCTTCTATTTACTCTAGAAGTTTGTGTCAAGTTTCTCCCTTCCTGCTCTGCATAGAGATAGTAAAACAACAACTTTTATCCCAAACACACTTCCTCCCCAAAGTGGCCCAAATAAAGTTTCTGACAAGTTGACTCAGATCATAGGTTGCACAATACAGTTACCGTGGCTGGCCTTGCTCTTAATCTTTCTACTTACCTTTTCCTAAACACGGAAACAATTTTAACATTTCCCTTTACCCACAGAGTCTTCTGAACTTTTCCCAGCTTTCCAGTGATTGTTGAAAACTCACAGCATAGGTTCAGAATGTTCTTAAGCAAATTGTTTTAGTATTTCCAGCCCAAAGTTACTCAATTCACCACGTTTCCTGTCACCAGTTGCCATTCATCACACTTTCTACCAGTTAAGCAGAAAATGTTTTACCATTGTGATATATTGCACTATTTATTTTAAAACAGTTCATGACAGAAGTAGCTTTAAGGAATATTCCTACCTTCTCTTCAGTGATTTGGATCAATCATTTTAGTGCAGTAAGCCCATGCTACTGTTAAATTCATTCCTTAAACATGTTCCCAGCATTCTCTCCATCAGTCCTGAGCTGTAGCAGCAAGTTTCCAGTACAGTACAGTGCGCCATATATTCTACAATTTTCCATTTGCAAAACAAGTACTAGTTTCAGCACTGCTTTCAATGGCCTTCTTAAATAGGCTATTTTAAAAAGAAAGTGAATTCTGAGAAATATTTGCATTTGTTTACAGGTAGCCTTCAGAAACAGCAACGACTGCTTTAAACTGATAATTTAGCAAGTAGTTACATGTAAATGCAAACATCAGTTCAGAAAATTGCATCACACTTCACAAACTTTTTCCAAAAATACACCTTTAACTGAGATACTTCTTTGTTAGTTTATATGCCATTTAGTCTGCTGTGGTACAGAGTAAAAATGGACTTGTCCTGGCAATACACCTGCAAGTCAAAGCATCCTGTGGAAGCGGAATAAAGAAGCAATGAAGACGGGACCCCAGTTGTTCTCAGTTTTAAGGGGGAAAAACACCCCAACCTCTTCTAGAAGGCATCATGATGAAAGACATTACAAACCTTCAGTCTATTTAACACACAAAAAAAATTAAAACAAAGTATGTTTCTTTCTCAGTACGCATGGAAAAGTCTGCATTTAAAGGCTTTAGAAGCAAACCTATCCATAACCACTACGCTCTTGGCTGAAAGCAGAGAGGTTTTCTTCTAGTCCTCACAAACCCACCTCTTTCCAATGTTTTTTAGAAACTGAATAATTCAGCACAGTTGCTGCTCCAGTTTTTTACCACAGTTTTCCAGGACACTCTTTTGATCACCCCAAAAGTTTGCCTTGAGATGGCTGTTAGGCACAGAACAGAACCCATTCTCTCAGCATGGATTCACATCATAGGATCCTGGCTTCTGAGATATTTTTCACTTCCCCAGCCCCTATCCTGCACAGTTCTTTCACAGCAGGTGTGCTTATCCATTCTGAGGAAATTATTAGGCTCATCCTTCTCAGGAGGTTTATCCAGAATACAGTGATCAAGACAAAATAAACATGCATTCATTGTTACTGCTGCCCACCAGCAAGGCCTTCTTCAACATGATACACAAAATGCATTGAGCAGTGCATTAAGTAGCAAAGAATCAAAATTTATACCACCTGCACCTACACAAAATCTTATTAGTATAGCAGCAGATGAAAAGAGCAGCAGAGAGGAAGGAATGCATAGCTGAAGAAAGACTGAGTGAGGAGTAAATAGTCACAGGAAGTAACAGCTCCCTCAGAAGCGCAGGAAGTTCTTGAAGTGCTTAAGTTTCATCCCTGATAAGATATTTTAATTATTCTAATGAAATAGCTCTACTTTATAGCATTGCAAATTCAACATGTGAGCCTAGAGAAAAAAAGACACGTGGGCAGGCTTACCAGAGCAGTCATAGGGCAAAATTCAGTCCTGTAAAACATGCCAACAAAAGGGCTGGATAGTAGTTCAGTACTATTAAGGAGCAAAAGATAAGACTAAATAAAGAACAGGAAATGCAAATATACCAAGCAAGTAACTTTTCTATTATCTAATCAATAACTGGTTCCCCTTGTTTTTGTAGTTATGAATACATCACCATTGTTTAGTACATCTCTATAAACTTGCAGAATATATTAAACATATTGAACATACCCAGATATAGCATACAAATTTTGACTGTGTTCTCCACAGCAAAAAAATCTTTATCCCGTGTATCTTGCTAGGCACAGCCATGAAATGCACTTTCCCTGTACCTTTCAAGTGTCTTTCCACTTCCAAGTTGAGTGGGATTGGGTTGAAGTTTACTATAAAATAAAGGTATTGGAGACAAGTATGTATTATTGCAACTATCTAGACAATTTATTATAAAACTGTCTGCAGTAGAAAAAAAAAAAAAAAAAATCAAAGAACAGTTCTTCAGAAACAATACATGGCAAAAACGTTGATCTGTCTATACAGATAACTCAAATATGTCTTCGTCAAGAAGAAAGGAATTACTGAAGGAAATCAAGCCAAGTTCACAGGTTGTACTTCAAACAGCCTTCAAACTTACAGAAAAACACAAACATGAAGATGTTAACAGAACAGCCTGCTCTTTTAAAGTTATTGTCTGGTACCTAAAAACAAACAAACAAACAAAAAAAAAAACAATGAAAACTTTCAAGTAAAGATGCTTTCAGTTCATTCTACCAAAATTAACTACAGAGAAAATTAATCTAAAAACATTTATTTTTAAGCCTGGAAGGATCATGAAATAAACCTTCATCGCTTAGTCCAGTATAGTTTTGAAATCTTGACAAAGAGACGGTTCCGTCACTGTCTTCAGCAGTTCCATAGTATCCCTTGGTATCTTCCCAAACAGATGCAACTTATCTACAAAAAGCATCAAAAACAATATATTACTACTGCAGGTAAGTAACAATTCATTCTTAGGCAAAATGCTAGTAAGTCATGAAATCAGTAGTAATTTAATCCAATAAAAAAGCTAGAACACCTGGAACACGAGGGTAAAAAGGCTATAGGAAAACATGCTGCTCTCCTCCTGCCCTTAAACACAGCAGACAATTGCCAGTTAAAAAATCATATGTTAAAACATTAACAAGCTATGGAAAACCAAGGAGTACATTCCTCCCAGTATGTCCCTGCAATACTGCTTGTATATAAGACTTCTAAAAGTTTTTAGTAAAGTACAAGACCAATTACTTAGTAACTATATCCACCAAAAAAGTTCTGTCAAAGCAGTGTTACTCTGAAAGACCCTAATTTAAACAACTCCCAGGACACAGGACACATCCTTATCTAGCTGATTATATTTATCTATAGGAAAATGGTATTCCCAAACTGGTTTTTTTCCTCCTCTAGTTTCAGATATGGCATTAAAGAAGTCTATAATTGGAACCGACATGAGCAAAAAGAGGAAAAAGAATTTCATGGAGAAAACACCTTTCTAATTGTGGCTACAGCAGTTCTCCCAACTATGTCCCCTTGTAAGGCTACCTGAAACAATACCCTTAAGGAGAAAAGTTGTGAAGAGTTAAGATTTCAGGGCCTTGTTTAATTACCTATTTATTTTTAACATAACATGTCAGTTTTGAAACACAGAACGTCATTGAAGTCTACGGCCAACAGAATTAAAGACAATAAAAAGGACTTCTCCAAGATTAGAAAAAAACATTTAAAATCCCAGCAACAGTGTAAGTCTGTTACCTAAACAGGGTTGGTAAAATTGTCAATGGTGCAGAAAGGCAGAAGTGCTCGATAAACATTTGTTCTGTATTTGGCAAGGAGATAGATGGTGTATTTATATCTTATCACGATAAGGAAAGACTCTTGCTCCCTTCCCAACTGGTAATAATAGGAGGGATGTTAAACAGTAACTATGCTTTAAATACTTAACTCCGAAGAATGATTTTAACTTGTACTGACAAGGCACTGATGTTGATATTTAACAGGTTTTGGAACGCTGGGGAAGACCTTCTCCCCAAAGCCCATGAGCTCAATATTGATTTCAAAGGAGAGTAACTGAAAGGCATGTGCAGGGACACAAGTGAAAAATGAAGTTTATATCAATTTCCGTCAAACAGCACGATCTCACAGGGGCAACAGTTTTTATATAGCTGATACAAGCTCCAAAATTACAACAAAAAATATAGTTGTTAAGTCAACACAGGTGCTGTTGCCAGTCTTATAGTTATCTCTACGATACAGATGCTGTGCAGTACAGACATACAAAGCTAGCTTTGCTTTAGAGGAACACACCTGAGTAGCAACAGATGTGATGTCACAGCTTCTCTGACATCCACACATGCTATCTGATTTCCAGAAACATGACAGAACTTAAAATGCAGCATTTAAAATTAGCTCTAATACTTTAACACTGTGCTTGGATTGTCTCTACAACATGATGTACTGATTACAATAACAATATTACTCTGGACTATATCTGATGCAGGTGAAACAAAAATGTGAGTAGAAAGCTATGTACCAATGTCTCTTCAAATGGATTTTCAGTGAATTCCTGCAGAAACTTCAGTTCTGCTCCCAACAGAAAGTGCAGAGGACATAGGGCTGTGGACATGCCTACTCACTCCCCCATTTGTTTCCTATAAATGTTCATGTGTCTTCTTTGTCACACTGTACTGACAAAAATAAGACTATGTGCATTCAGGCTTTGCCACTGGCCTTTGATACAGGAAGGAAATGCCTGCTTTCAAAACCAGAACTGCTCCTTCTCCAGGGCACTATGTCTCAGCACAGGTACTAGAGGAAGCCTGTGATACATTTACAGATGAAGTATTGGTTATTCTTGAACTAGAATAAAAGAACCCAAGTAGCATCTCATTCAGAGTGCAATTACATGGTCAGCGCTGGGAGACTGTGAAGTAGTGGCTACACCTAGCCTCCACTAAGGTTGAATTCAGCAGCTCTACTAAGTACTTCAGGAAAAGCTACTAGTGTTTGTTTTTAATAACTTACAATTAAAAGCTTTGCTATTTTTATGGCTGTTCCAGCTACAGAATACACTACTGGTCAAGGAGAGGGAGCTGCTCAGAGCCCATAGACATCTTCTTTTAACAGAGTGGAAGAGTCAGAGATTTGCCAGCACCACTCTGTAACAAGGAGACTCACAGCACAGCAAGTGCTTCTATTTCAAAATGTCCCCAGTGACTCCTTTGGGGGTAAGAGTTTACACTGTGGGAGGAAACTATTTTGTTGGAGTTTATCTACATTGTTTAAAAATAGAAGAGCCTTTGTATTTTATTAGATCAATATGATCAACACAATTATACTTAAGTTTTTGAACTGTACAAGCATGGTGAGTGTCAAATAATAACAGATGTGCCTTAAGAGCAAGGTTCTAGAAAATGAAATGCTGAAAAACATACCATTTTAATTTGCCTACTTAAAGTTAATTGTTACTTGTTACTGTACATTTTAGAACAAAAAACTTAAAAAAACATTAGATTGGAAGATTTTATGAAAACCATATCTAAACCGTAAAAGTAATTGAATACTTACAGACTTTAAGGGGCTTAAGTAAGCATTTGTAAATAACTTTGTGGTTGGACAGTTTGACAATGAAGGCATGGTAACAGAGCCATTCTGCTGCCTCAAAAGGGAACATGCCGGATGCATCTTTGCTACCTAAAGAAATCCCTAGAGACAGAACAAGACAACACCGAAAATTACATATATTCAGAAGTACAACTGACCCTTCACACTACTTTCTATAAAACCAGAAGGGCTACACATTCAGGACTATTTATTTACCTTAAAAAGTAAATTTAAAAAATGCTACTTCGCTGCCACTGAACACACTATACCTGGATTTTTAGCTTTCAGGATAAAATAGCAGCATGAAGCAGTATCAGAGATGATCCTTAGGAAGAAATACGGATTATTCCTAACTTTCTGGTTGAATGGAAGCTGAAGAACACAGGCATGGAACCTGTTAGCAAAAAACAAACAACAGCCTTTTTAATCACAAGTCATTTTCTATTTCAAGTGAAATTATGATTATGTACCTTAGGCACTACACCACACTTAAAAGCACCTTTAGCCAAATAAACACTGTTAGCATGCGAAACCTCTGCTATATACAAATTCCTGCAGTGTCAGGCTTAAGATGTTTATTCATAACTTCTGTGGTGAAATAAGAGGTTGAAGTCATCTCCCTCAGTAAGTGAATTCTCTTCTGAATACAGCGAATATGTTGTGATGGGGGAAAGTTGAACCCACATCCTCATCAGGCTCACATCACAAACCACTGGGATAGAGAACGCACACAAGAGGCAGAGAGGAGGTGAGAGAAAAAGAAACAAAAACAAACTCAACAACAATCTTGTTCTTCAGGAGAACAGACCTCCAAATGATGAATTTAAGAAAAAAGCTCAACTGCCACTTCCTAAGCAGAACTCCAGCAAAATAGCAACACCTGATGTTTCCCTATTTACAAACAACTCTTATGCTCTTTCTGTGCTAAAACAATAAACAACAAGAACTCTTAATGGATTATCTCTTTATTCACAGTCACAACAAATAAGAAACCGACCTTTTTTCCTTGTTTATCATTCAGAAGCTGACAAACAGGCTTAATAAACTCAACCAGAAAACAACATCAACACAAGTATATTGTTCTTTAGTCATTGCTAGGGTTGTGTTGAACAGAAGAATATTTTCAATGCATGACAATCCTATGGTAGTAACATAAGCAACCACCAAAAATTATTAATAAAAAGGATTTTAGAGCCCTGAAGCAGAGTACCACTCAATTGCTATGCTATTCTTTAGACCCAGGATCTTCCTGCTTTACTCAGCACATGCAATCATGCAAAGTTTTTGGTGCAGTTTACTTTTTTCTCCCAACCTCCTGATCAACTCTGATTTCTTTCCCTTCATCCTTGTTGAAAGTGCTTACTTTCTCTGCTGGTCAAGAAAAGCTCACAAGTCAATAACATTTTACCAGTTAAGAAGCAATTAAGACATTATCAGCAGCTAAGAAGTCAGAGTTAACTTGGAAAAATGAAATTCCACTTAATGCAAAGCTATACAGGTCAAAGTTCCACATGATTGTAATGAATACAAAGTTCTAAATATAATCTCAATATAACCTGCTTTTCATTGCTCCTAGAACAAAATAAACCGTTCCTCTTGGAAGTCAGCTATAAACACCCAGAGACATTGAAAATTAATTTGTCAAAGTGTCATTTAAACACACATACTAACATCATCTCTACCCTGAATCTAATATTATGCAAGAACAGTCTTAAGACACAGTTATGTGACTTTCTACTGACATTTAACAGTGTACAGTATGTATGTAACAGTTTATGGTACATATTTTACTAAGCAATAGCTGCTGTGTGTCAAGACAGTGTCATGGAACATTCACAATTACTGCAAGAGGCAGTCACCTACCTGTAAGCCTGAAGTAAAAATATCTTGTAGATGTTAACTAAAACTGTTTTAAGGCTGTTGATCTGGAACAGAACCACAAGAATATTTTTGTCTTACCATATCATTTGTACGAGTTCAACAGAAAAGATTTAGAGACGTAGAGGAAAAAAAAAAACAACTTATGCTATACTTCCATTATTTTCTATTATGTACCTAAACAACAATGGGCTCAGAACAGAAGGTGAAGGCTCAGCTCTGGAAGCTACTGTGACCTCACCCACATTTAGTCGATGCCAAGATTTCAAAGTTAAGTTTATAACCTTTCCAAATCATCTCTTTTGTTAGTCCTCGCTGTTTATTACTAACGATTTTTTTTTTTTTTTATTACCTTTTTAATTTTTTTTTTTTTTTTTTTTTTTACAAACATCCATTTCCATAATCTCACCTTTAAGTCAAGAAATAAAGGATGGCATTTCAGTTTGAGGACTGCAGTCAATTTGCATTTCATGTTTTTTCCAGCTATTCTACTTGAATTGAAGGAAAGACTCGATCTGATAGAAGTAAAAGCATAACTAGAATGAAAAATAATAATAATAATCAGACTCCATGGGCTAACAGACTGAATTAAATTCTGTGAAATAAAGCTCATTTAACTTCTCATCTTAGAGAAACTGCCTCCAAATCAATAAGCCAAGTACAAAAATACAACTGTAACAAAATTCAAAACTAGAAACAAACAGAACATAGTGGCATTAAGGCTATCACCTAGGGAATTACTTCAGAACATTAGAACAGAATAATTTCCAGTTATTTAAAACACCACCATCACTGCCACCAACAACCTTTAAACTGACTTCAGCAATAACCAAGTTATATTCTGTGATCCAAGCAAGCAGGAGCTAAGCTTACCTTGGCCCAGCAACCTTAGCATTGCAATTACTGAAGTCAATCTTATATAAAAGCAAGGAGATCACCCCATAACAGTTTCTCTGTTTAGTGCCTCCCAAACCACGAGCACCAATGTCATCAGCAATATAAACTGTTTCTTCTGTTGTTAAACAAACAAACAACAAAAAAAAACAAAAGTCACACATTCCTTCTCCTTATCTCATATTAATTGACCAAACTTTTCTCTTTTGGAAGACAGTTGAAGAACCATTATGGCAGTGCAAAACCTCCTTCTAAGTTCTCACCTGAATGTATTCATGGGCTGTTTATAGACAAAGCTACGATGTTATCCTTAAGCTTAAAATTATTTTCTGTTAACCTTTGAGGAATGTCTAATGCCATCTCTAAGAGTCCTTTTAATGTGCCTATAAAGCTTTTCAGCAAGATACATTCTGAGTTTTATGGTGCTTTAGTCAGACTGCTCCACGTGTACACCATGATGCTGGTTTAAAGGCAGGTTACTTCTACCCTATGTTAACATCTGAAGTACATCAGAGGAAACCTAAAGAACTACTAGTCCCTCTAGTGTGCAGAAAGTGAATTCCAACCTGTATTCTTGCAATATTACTTGCTGAAAGCAAGAATAATAAATGTATTTATACTAACTGTGAAAGAAGTTAAACCAAGGTGATCAAATAGTTTCTAAAAAAGCATGCAGTCACCACGTGGTATGTAAGATAAAATGTATGTGCATTCCATCGGGGTGTAATGAAGAAAGCATCCAAAAAAAAAAGTATAAATAGCTGTAGAAGACAAAGAATTGTAAAGTGTATTTTGCAGTTAATTCAACTATACTACTTACAAGATACTCTCTTGTTTTTAACACTGTGTATAGCATACTGTAAAGCTGATGCTGGAATATACAACCATTTACCTGGAGTAATCACAATAAACCTCAAGTGTCTGCATATCCAGTAATAAACCACACCATGAGATCAAACGACAATCTGGCAGCTGTTTGAACTTAGAACATCCTGGGATATCATCAACAGGAAAATTCACCACTGTCTTCTTGGCATTTATTAAAAATCCATACTCAGGAATACCTGCTGCTATAGTCCTAAAGCAGATAAAAATGGTTACCCACAAAAAAAGCAGAAAAAACCCCCACAAAAAATACCACCATGCTGCATGATGCATATTAGGTTGGCATAAAAGAGCAAACCCAATAATAAAGAGAAACAGCTCTTAAGGTTAATGAACACAACTAGAAATACACAAAACTGAAGTCAATGCAGGTAAATAAATAAAAAGCTTGGTGGAGAAGAAAAGCTTTTACAGGTCAGTGCCAAAACAGGTATTAGCGTTTTAAATACTTAAGACCAGCTGCACAAACCAAACTCACAGAAATCACTAGAAAAAGACGGATGCAGAATTATTGTTTTGAAAGTTCATGAAAACAAGGATAATCTAGATAACAGGAAATCCATTTATCTGATGAAAAAATCTTGAACTTTCTTCAACAAGTATCTTTTTACTGCAGTAGGCTGCTGATTACCTACCACAGAATTAGTACACATTGGGTCAGCAATATCATCTCATGGACAAGCAGCAGTTTGATTTGGTGATTTATTCAAGTGCTACATGCTTTAAAAGGAGAGAGGAAGAAGTAGACTCTTATTTTTGGGAAGTAATAGTCAAAACACTGTCTCCTCAGAATGAATTTCTCGTGTCCCTCACTTCTAACAGTACGTTAGGAAAACTGCCACTGCTTCCTTTGTTGCAGAGAGCTCACAGGACCTGTAAGTAGATGCAGAAAGAGGATCTTCCACAGAAGAGGCTACCTGTGTCCAGAAAACCAACATAGCTTGTCAAGAAGCTAATGCACAACTTGCAAGTAGGAGAATATCTGCAATACTAATGTGAGTGACACTATATTGGAAGCTATTACAGGGATTAATGGCTTGGAGGCATCCCCAGCCTACAGGTTCGATTTATTTCCAGAAACTCAAATTCACACATATCTAGAAATTTCCTTTTGTTCTGAAACAGAACTGAGGACTAATGAAATTTTTTAAATACACCATTTCACTGCTTAGGACTACTAGTGCTTCAAACTGTACTTAAATGACTTCCCCATCACCTGGTAGGGTCACAACAGAGCTGTACCTTTCTGGCTATGAAACACATGATACAACTGACTGCACTGCAGATTTCCTTCAAGACCTCTCTAATGGATCCTTTAACAGAAGAGCTTTGACATCAGAACAGGTCTTCTTGGATACTGTGTGTTGAGATCCACAGTAATCAATAATCTCTAACAGGGCCTAACGTGTTTTTTTTTTAAGGTAGATTTGCAGCATTCTAAGAAATTAGTTTGAAAACTTCTGTACAAGTTGCATGCTGCCATGCTATCAGCATCTTCAAATATTCTCCCCAGAATATTCATGATTAGAAAATTCTTAGCAATATAGCAATACAGTTGCATTCTTCCCCCAGGGATAGCAAGTAGCAGCAGGTCTGCTCAATAAAAACCATTTCAAGGATGTAACTAGAACACCTTTTGAAAATACGAGGGAGAACAGTCATAAAACTGTTACGTTCCTCGGCTTGGTCTACATTACTCGTTCCTGCCAGCAGTATTAAGTTCAGGAGGTAGGTCCAGAATTTAAACCAAAGGAGAAAATGATCTCTGATCATTTGAGCTTTTTAGTTTACAGTCAAGAACGTAGCTGTTAAGATGTTCCTTGGTACAGGCTACCAGCAAGGCCTCCAAAGTATGCCTTGGTTATTAATCCATAAAATCAAATGCATCTATGTGTACACAGAAGTATAAAGGAGATCAAAGTAAATGACCTAAAAGGTGCTAATGCTTATTACTATAAAGAATATTTTCAATATCATACCTTAGAAAAGTTTTTGCCTGCATTAGATGTGGTGTAACCAGCAAAAAGTCATCAATAAGTCGTATTAGGACTCTGTAATCAAGAATAAAAAGAGGAGATGCTTTATGTTCTGTAACACTGTCTTCATTTAACATGTAGTAATTTTTGAAGCTGCAACTTGGATATAAAACAGACACTGTGTTCAGTTTTGGACACCTCCATACAGAAAGGAGACTGAGGTGCTGGAGCAGGTCCAAAGAAGGGCAACAAGGCTTGTGAATGCCTTGGAGAATATGCCCTATGAGGAGGGACTGAAGGAACTGGGGCTGTTTATACGGGGGAAGTGGAGGCTGAGGTGAGACCTTACTGCTTTCTTCCAATTCTTGAAAGGTGCTTACAGCAAGTGCAGGGTTGGTCTCTTCTCACTGGTGAGAGGACGAGCAGAAATGGCCTCAAGTTGTGCCATGGGAGGTTTAGGTTGGACATCAGGAAAACCTCCTTTACAGAAAGGGTTGTTAAGCACTGGAATAGGCTCCTCAGGAAGGTGGTTGAGTCACCATCCCTGAATGTGTTTAAAAACCATTTGGATGTGGTGCTCAGGGACATGATTTAGAGGAGGGTTGTTAGAGTTAGGGTAGTATGGTTAGGTTGTGGTTGGACTCAATGATCTTTAAGGTCTTTTCCAACCTGAGCAATTCCATCATTCTATGAAAAGTCTACCATTATAAAGGCTGAAATTTTCTTTTAAATAGAATACATGTCCCAAACTTGCTCATATTTTTCCAATAAATCCTGCTAAGAGACGGATCATAGAAAGGAAACTCTGGAGATGATCTTTTCCAGTCTCCTTTTTAAAGTGGGACTATGCCATCACAATGATCAGAACTGATATATCTTCATCTATTCAATAGCCAATTGGTTGGTTTTGGGTTTTTTTGCAGTTTTTTTTTTTTCCACTGTTGCTGTTTGTTTGTTGGGAGAGGGAGATGTTATGATTAAAGGCCAAATGAAACTATCAAAATCATTCAACGGACACCTATGTAATATTCTAAAAACTACAACATATACAGCTGATACATAGAATTCCTTATGTGCACTCTTCTGAATCTTGGTTTCTTAAGTTCAGCATGTATAAGGAGGGTCCTTTAGAAGCAAAAAAGTAGCTTTGCAGAATCCCACCATCACAGTACACAAATGCTTATCAAAAAGAACTCTTACTTGCTTAGGAAGACATTTAACATTCTGAGGCTTTCCATTATCCAGAGAGTCTCCCAAGAAGAGGCACCAGACTGGTGCACTTACCCAGAGTACTTTTACACACGTCCTTTATCTTGTTTTGGACAGAATTCACAGGAATGGAGAGAGAACATGAACAAGCTTCAGAGGACTCACCAATACCTAGCTCATGCCTGCAAATCTGAGATTCACCTGGCTATCCATTCACAGGGATATAAAAAGGATGCTGTATTTCTTACTGTTAATGAAAAAGCAGTTTTCACCATACAAACTTTCAGCAAAGCTCCTAAGAACCAAGCACATGAATGGCATGGAAGATGTTAGAAGACCAGTGTGGACCAGCATGTTTTTAAAGCATCCCTAAATACTGTGCTTTTTTTAAGAAGTCATCCACACTCACATGTAGGACAACTCCTCCTCTATTTTTTTCACAATCATATGAAAAATAAGACAATTCCATCTAAAACAGTTACAGTGACACTAAATCTAAGTTCACCATGCTTCTGCTGGAGAACTGAAAACTCTTGAAATTCAAAATTAAACTTAAAAGAAAACATATACACACTATACAATACCATAACAGAGTACATAACAAAAAGCACCCAAATCTTCCTACCCATCCTTCTGGATTCCACAAAGTAATTTGTTTTCCATGTCTCCATAGCATAAGCTGCAAAGTAAGGTTGACAAAATGGAGCCCTGTGGGATTCCAGAGCACTGTATATAGTACCTAGAAAAGAATAAAAGAAAAGAAACATCAAAACACACAACAAGGCTCCAGTAGTCACTAAACATATGCTTAAGAACATCAAGTATTAACACCTAAGTTTCAGTAATGAACAACTGAAAGCCTGCTAGTTAACCTTACCTCAGTTTTTCTTTCCTCTAAGAGTCTAGACATGACTCCAAAAAAATCTTTATCCCCACTACTGAATTTAAAATGCACTAAAACACATCCTCCTTTCTTATTAAGAAACTCTATTAGACAACTGCCATTAAATGAATGGTATTTATAGTTGAAATCAATCCACAATGCTTTTTCCTTTACAAAAGAACCTCCAGAGTCACATTTCATCTAAATGTTGTAATTGTTAGTCTTGCATTGCTTTACAACTGCTCTTCTACAAGAAATGTAAAGTTCACGACTCATCTTTTAAATGATACATTTATTTTTTAATTATGATCCAAATAATTTCCAGCAAGTACTCACTAAAAATTCATACACTGAAGCTCATAATGTTAATCTACAATAAGAATTGAATTCAGGCAGATTCTGAAATTGAGAACTTCTAAGTTTTCGCATAAGAAGCAAACATTCACATTAAATCCAAATACAAAATTCACCACTATCAAATCCTGTTTTCTTAAAGCATTTGTTTCAGACAAGCTAGAGTAAAAGTGTTTAACAATACGAAGTATTTTAAATCAGGCCACTTGATGTGCATATTATAGAATCATAGAACAGCTATGATATTCTTCAGTTATGATGGCACAGCACGATATGGTCAAGCCATATATTTCCTTGTTTGTTTTGTTGTTGCTGTTGTTTGTTTTTTAAACAAATAAATACTACTCTTTACTTTCAGGGAAATTCTTGATGAATGCCTGTTAAGGAACACAATATTGTCTTCTACAATCCAGTTTTGTTTTTTTTTAATGCGACCTCTACTATAAACTGCAGTTATTTCTGCACTTAACTGTTTTAATGCTAGAAAAGCCTACAGACGCTTTTCCATTTGCCTCTATTTTCCCCTCTCTCTGTACAATGAGTTTAACTACCGTAAAATAAAGTTAGCCTCTCAACAGCAACAACTTAGTCACTCTAACAGACTTCACTCTGAATTCAGAAATAAAGGTCGTATTTGTAAGTGGTTTCTACACTTGGTACACGTTTGCCACCTAGAGGCAAAAGCTAAATAGCAGATCAGCATTTCTAGCATTGCAAGAAATTTTCATTTCATCCTCTTCCGTAACAGCAGATTCCTAATTTGGGGGTTGTCAGTCATTTTAATTCTTAATGATACTGTTTTATATTTTTATTGCAAATTGACAAAGAGCAAGGCTATGCAGAAAAAGTTTTATTTTGTACTACAGACTGACAAGGCTTAAGCACTATTGCTCGGACATCCCCTTGCTTCTGTGGTCATCTCCAAGGATTTCAACATTTTTTCAAACAAGATCTGAAGCTCTAAATGAAGGTTATGTATCTACAGAATGATGCAGTCTGTGCATGATCAGCATCACCCGCATGGGAAAGAAACTTCTAAAACTCAATTATTTAAATGTAAATGGATCCAAACAGTTCAGCTTTTTTATAAGGCATAAGTTAAATTTCAAAACAGATTTCAAATTAACATGAAATAAAATTCTTTAAAAGATATCCAGCAGAAATGCTCTGAGCCAATAAAGGCAGAGAAAAACAAACATAAGCCAACCAAATAAACAACAAAAAAATCCACACTTCACAAATGTATTTGATTTTATTTTTTACCTGTGCCCAATCTCCAGGATGTTATTATGTAACATTTGAAGAAAGAAAGTAAACAGGGTGGAACTGTTCTCATTAAAAGTTAAGCACTAGAAATGGGACAAAACAAAATCAAAATTGTACTTTAGAAATGTGCTGAAACTAAAAGATAAAGTATAAGTTGAAAATATATGTATTAGCTTACCCGAAGAATTAGACTGTAACAGTTTAGTAAAAAATCTCTAAGGTAAGAAACAAAGCAAACATCTAAAATTAAAATCTGAATATACACTCTAAAAAGCAACTGTCAGCCAACAAATGAGCAAAGTTGGTTGGGTTTTTTGTTTGTTTGTGTTGGTTTTTTTAGGTCTTACTTCAGGAAAAAAAAATCGTTTTGATTAGTGTTTGGAAAATTGTATATTATATTAACAAATATAAAAAGCTTTTAAAAGTGATTAAATATTATACTGGCTTACCACCATTTATGATACCTCCCCTCTTTTGGTCATGTTCTACCCTTTTTAACTGTTATGTTCTTTATTATTCCGCACGTACAGACAACACTCTCTTACCAGTTCTGCTACAAATTGCATCTCTTTCCCCATGTTACCAATGACTCCATGCATGAGAGCCTATGCAACTACATTAAGTCTTTTGTGTTAAAAACGTATAATAGAAATTTCATTTAGAGCAGTGGAAGATACCTGCATGGTCATCTGTGGCTCATGATTTTGTATGCTGTTAGCATGGAACACCGTTTCGCCAAGCCATAGAACGTCTTTGGAAACTGACTGGGTGCATCACCTACCTCTACACTTCATCACACATCTTTTACTGAGCAAGTCTTAATAACAAACATTATTTAGAATTAATACTGTTCTCTGAAGCATGTGAGTTAAGCAACAGAAAGGAGTCTGCTTCTTGTAATAGCACTAGCTGGAGCAAATATAAAAGTCATGTAATTTTCATCCATTCCCTAACTTAGAAAGCAAGGTATCTCTTCAAACAGTAACAACAACGGAGTTTTTCCTGTTTTGTAATGCACTAAGAAGGAAAGTTTATTCTTAGCAACTTTGGCATGAGATCATTAAAATAAGCTGATTTTTTTCCAAGTCATTTCTCTATTAAGTGAAGTTTGCTATTCAAAATGCTGTATCTATTTCCCATGTTACTTAGCTTAGAATACACTTTTCACATCCTTAGTTGTGTGCATTTTGGACATAGACCATGTCAAAATGCTTATTTATTTCACTGGAAAGCTGTTACAATACATAATGGAATTCATTAGGAAAGAAAAAAAAAAAAAGAACATGGTGGTTCAAATGAAAGTTTAAGACACCAACGAGAAAATCTGGGAGAAGTCTAGAATTACGCATCGCCAGAGTTCCTGCCTGAGGCACTAAATCCCCTGAAAGCCTGCTAGAAACACCAGATAAGAGATGCCAAAAATCTATCTAAAGAAGGTGCTGAGTAACCAGAACACAAGTGGTGTCACCATATAATACATACATTCATCTAAAAATAAACAACAACAACAAAAAAAAAAAAAACCACACAAAACCCAGGAATCTTCATTTACTTAATGTAGCTTTCTCTTTCAGTTTAGGAGAACCCTCCTAATTTGGGGAGAAATTACTCAAACTAAAAGAGGAGAGATTTAGACTGAATATAAGAAAAGTTTATTTCACAATAAGCATGGTGAGGCACTGGAACAGGTTGCCCAAAGATGTGGTGGATGCCCCATCCCTGGAGACACTCAGTGTCAGGCTGGACAGAGCTCTGGGCACCCAAATCTGCTGAAAAGGTGTTCCTTTTCTTGAAGGGAATTTGGACTACATGACCCTTAAGTGTTTCTTCCAACTCAAATGATTCTAAGATAATATTTACCTGTTCAACTACTATTGCATTTCGTAATGAAGTTCGCTCTTGAAGTTTGGACACAAACTGCTTCATGTCTGGAATAAAATCCTCGAAAGTAGAAACCTGTATATTTAATATAAAAAAAAAAAAAAAAAAAAAAGACAACAGCAATAGAATACTCAGTAGCAGATGACATTTATTCAGTGAAAGGGCATGTTTTACTGCGTTATTTTAAACCAAATAAGTCTGGTACTGTTAAAATGAAATTCCACCCTCACCCATGTCCATTTACCTTTACCCTTACTAACACCGAAGAGTAAGAAACAGCTTTGTTCACTCCAGGAAATTTCCAACACTATCAAAATAAAGGTTTTCTGAAGTAATTACCTAATTCACATTCAGAAACACAAACAAACAAACAAAAAGCTACAGATATATTTATTGGCCAGAAATATAGTAACAGTAGTAATTAAAAGAAATGAGTCATACGTGTCTCTTATAGAGCTTCCTGGCTTTTCCAGTTGGGGTAATCATAATTACAGCATACCACCTTATTCCATACACGGTTTGGCTCTCAGGTTTCAAGACCTGTGAGATTACTTCCACTAGTTTCTTGTGAGGAATAGTATCAAAAGCTCTGGACACATCACCCTGAAACAGAAAAAATATCTTCCATCATGTTCTATATCTTATGTTTAAATATCTTTCATATTCATCAATATCACCATAAATACTGTGACAATATGGGGCAAAAATAACCATTGTAGTATATAACCACAATTGAAGCATCACATAGGAATGAAATTACAACATTAATTATTCAAAATTGTGACAAGCAAATTCATTTCTTATCTGAAGATTCTTTCCTCAGTCATCAATGAGTTTTCCTTTGCAGGGGACAACAGAACTCAGTTTTAGTACAATGTCTGTTACTAGCAGAAAATGGTACAGCAGTCCCTACATTCATCTGTACTGTGTAGCACTTCTTTTCATGAGATACCAATGGACACAAAAGGTAGCACTGAAGTTTATTGCTGAAATTTTTATATGATTATTATTTTAAGAAACTTTCTCCTCTATATTTAGTTCTGACCATGACATCTTAGACTTTTGGAAAAATGTAAACCTAGAAGTTTTGCTTTTTCTAAATCTTATACTATGATCTTAACTTTGCTTTTATTTGTCATAGTCACAATTCAAGGCCTGAAGAAGCAAAAACTTGTAAAGAACTGTATCAATGACATTATCCTTTGTCCTTAAAGATAAGACAATAACTAAAAACAATTTTGGGACATGACAACTGATGTACAAGAGCATGAGGTAGGAGCCCTGCTATATTATATATAAGCTGTATAATTCTATATGAATCACTCCAACGTAATAGCAATAGCCTGCTAGCTATTACTTAACACAAGAGTTAAGTAAATGCTCCTTCAAAAAAAAAAAAAAAAAAAGAGATTTTACAATAATTCAATTATTTAAAGTGGTAGAATAGATTTGTTGGACATGCTTTATACTTCATGTATTTATTCTCAAGAGACATCCATATTATGGAGATAGAGGAGACTTATTTACTGAAAAGATACTGAGTTTATCTAGAAGCACATAGGATTTTTTTTTCTGTTTTTAACTTAGGAAAATGACCCTAAGAGCCTATTCAAGTTTGTATGTTTGTCCCATCATTATACCCAAGTAAATGTAACTGCAGAAGCACAGCATGTGTCTAGAAGCAAGAGCTGTTGCATGACAGAGAAATTAATAAAAATATAAGTAAAAGAAGCAATACTTCAGGAAAAGCAAACAAACAAACCAGTCTAAATTAGCTATGTACAAAACCCAACTATGACAAAGAAGTAGTTATGCACACAGACCAGAGCTATAGAAGATTTGCAGTAGCTGTCTTTGAAAAGTTAGTCTGAACGCAGGATTAGAACAGGCATACCTTTACAAAGTAGAAATGAGGCATTTCACCACCTGATTCAAAAACTTTTGTAACAAACTCCTTCCATTTCCTGTATATATCATCTCTCCCGAATACTGAAGAGCCAATGATGCTGGTGTTTACAGTTCGTTCATAATTTAACACGCTAAATAGATTTTTTAGCTGAGTGTTATAGCGCTGTATCTATAGAGACCAAAGAGAAACATCCTAAGGGGTTGAAACATACTAAATGCAATACTGAATGTTATACTAAATGTTTCTCATTTAGATGAGCTATGAGAGGAAATCTGTGTATTTGCTGTACTACTTTGATCAAATACAGTTTTCAGAAAGAACGAATATAGCAGCAGTGACTTCCTGGAAGTGACAAAACAGTCTCAAAGACACCAATGTGGTGAAACAGTTATGGACATAAATAAATAGACTCGGATAAATAAAATGATCACCAGCAGTAAGGTAAGAAGAAATAACAACATGTGCTTGAGACTTTAAGTTAAACCCAGCTGCATCGCTTCATGAGCCTCTACAGATAATTTATGCAAAGATTTACTCTACTTCAGCAAAGATTTAACTCTCTTAGTTATGGGAATAGTGGAGTACAGCAGCGTGGCAGTGAAGTCCTGTAGGTCAATCAGCTCTGTCAACACAGATCTGGCTTCAAGAGTTTGGAAAAGGCAAGCCATAGTATTAAAGGAAGTAAACAAACTGCACATGCGGCACGCTCATGAATCTGTTTAGAACTCTGGAGAATTCCTCCAAATATGCATAAATAAATTCTAAAAGGTTTCTTACTCTAAATGGCAGCATTCTGATCAAGCCATGCACGCAATAAAATTGCCAAGTATGAAGCATACCAAATTCATCTGAGAACATTATTTTTGCCCTGAAAAAATCAATTCCAGGTTGCAGTGAAAAACTGACAAAACTAAAGCACACCAAAACCACTTGTACTGCAGTCACAGACTACAAACAACATGATCCAACTTTACTGTTTTTCATTAGGTAAATAGTTTGTTAATTCACTGGCTGATCCTGCAAAATATTTTTGACTACAAAAAATTAACTGCTGAATTGACTGCTGAAAATTAAGACACATTCTTGAATTAGTGCAGTGGTTTCTTTTCCGGTATATGCCAAGTTCCTACGAAAAGCAGTCAAAAGGGTAGAGATGTAGCTCAAAGATAAATAAAAGCAGCAGATCAAAGTAGTTATCAATAGAGAAGTTCCTCCCTTCCTTCTTAATGATTGTGTCCCCGGATGGCTGCCTTAAGAACTTCTCACAAAGCTGATGGCCATCTGGGTGTTAGCACTGGGGTCAATAAAAGAAGCTTTAGCATTCAAACCTCAGTTTGAACTAGGCCTGTGAGACATCCAGCAGCAGTATTCACAGCAGTAACTTCTTGTAATGCTGGCAGGAATTCTCTCCTGTCCCTCAGTTTTCCAGAACAAGCCTAATCTACAGTGCTATCAGTATTTTTGCAAAACCTAAGGGTTTGCTGGAATCTCTGCAGAATGCAAAAAAAGATTATACACTCTCAAGCCAATCAGTTAATTAAGAAATCCTCTTCAGGCTTTCCATTATGTTTGTGTATCCATGTATGTATCTATGTATTTACACACAGATATGTTGAAGTTCAAACAAAAAGAAGGTTGAAAAGCAAATACATAAAACCTCTATTAAAAGAAAAAAGAAAAGCATAATCTACACTGTTTGAGGACAAACTCACAGAACTGGATTAATTTCACTACAGTTTTGGCAGCAAAGGTTAAGAGCTGCCCAAGAGCCGGAAGTTAATTTGCTGGGTACTTGAGAGATTTTCTTCTGGCAATTCATCTGAAGATGATCTTCTTCCTACAATTTAAATGCCTGGAGGAAACTGCAGAGCAGAGATATGCTGGAATATAAGGCAGTTTGAAAAACTGGAACGGACCAAAGGATAGCAGGCAATGAAAGAAAGAAACTGAGCAGCCACGCAAGCTGGGGAAGGAAAGAAGGGAGGGAAAAGAAAAAAATCAAATATTACTTCCATTAGGTTGTAAGCCCCAAATTCTTGAACAAGATAATTGTTTTGAATGATGTTTTCTGCGTCTGTCTGCTATCACAGAAGAGAGGTAACACTATCATTACCTTTTATGGATTTATAAAATCATTAGCATTGCTTTATGATGCTCTCCCATTTTTTGTCAGATGAGGTCTTTTCATGACAGCTGCTGTTCTTGGCTGCTTATCAGCACTCGAACAAGCATGAATCTTGCCTCTCAACTTCAGGGCTACGCAGCAAGCTGAAGCCACTTGGCCAGCAACCATAGTTGACTTTTAATCTTCATCTTCTGGGCATTCAGGTCTGGGGTCATCCCTTATTCCAATTTGTTATGGGAGCAACAGAACCTTTTAAAGTACTGCAGCTATTTTTGGATTAACTGTGGGCATACTCTGACAGTATGATAGCCACAGAAAGACTAGATGAAAGTAACACTTCAGAACAGCTTTTCCTTCATGTCCTTTAAATGCAGAATGGGATTACTCACTGAACCATCAGCATTAAGAAGCTGTTGAACTCTCACCCATTTGGAGAGCTTTTCATCTATGGAACTCGGCCTTAAGGAAAAAGAATCAATTTAGTCATGGGAGATAGTGAAACTGTGCTTCCGCTATATTTTGCAGTTAACTCGCTTGTTAAGTGGATTATTGTACGCACTCTGTGTTAAGCCTTTGTTCCCACGCAGTAGTAATTCCCATCTTAATTTCTATTTCCTTACTATGCTTGATCCAGCCTCCTCAACCCTTTTAGGCCTTCCACTGCAACATATATGGTTCACCATTATTTGGCCTGCTAACTTGGCAAGATCCCCTGGGCTGACCTGGCACAACAGCCAACCAGTCCAACGATGCACTCAGTCAGTACTCAGGTAAATCCCAGCAGGAGAGATTCATCTGTCCCTAATTCTCTGGTGTGCCAAACAAATACAGCATTAGCTCTGAACACTGAGCACTTAGTGTCTGACTCTTCTGTTCCTACCCCTACGGACAGCTGTGTCCATCACAGTCAGACTCAGTAAGCAAGGCTGAGGGAAACTGACGGAAAGAGAAGGCAAACACGCCTACCCGACAGCCTGTGTTATTTTGTTAGACTAATATCATTAAGACAGGCTTACAAGCAGAGTGTGTAGCTCTGGAACTGCAGGCTAATGATGAGTACTGGGAAGGGAGAAGTTAAGCTAAGTTGCAAAGAGTAGGAGCATTCAGTCCTTTTGATTTTAATGTTTCAGTTCACCAGTTTAAAACCAGTTAAGTGAGCGAAGTTTTTTAGTTAACATGAAACAGCTGCCTCCATCAGACCGACATAAAACAATAAGGAAAATAACCTTCTTTTCTCTGCTTTCCTTGCTGAGTTTCTGTCCTTCAACAACACGGCTTAGTCTTACTACAGGTCTTAAACCATTGATTTTAGGAATGAACCGGAGCCTTGATGCAATAGGAAAATACTTCTTTTGATGGATCACTTCCATCTCCTCTGAAGATAAAGCACGCAGATGTACTTTGGCAAAATGGTTTCTAAAATAGAAATACATATTGAATGTAAGCAACAGGAAATGCAATAAGTTAAAATATTTCACTCTTAATGTAACTGAACCCAGGTATTTTACTAAAAAGATAATTACAAATACTAATCTCTACAGAACCTGGTATGAAATCTGAATTTCAGAATAATTCCATATATCAATGTATACCATTGACAACATGATACATTAATAAAAGAGCATATATGACGTAAACTAATGTAATGAAAAAGATCTAAATTAACACAAAAATTTAATCACAGACTAGCCAAGTATATTTGAACATTATGATTTCTTTTTTTTAAATTCAGTATCTTTCATGGTTTCAGAATCTTGGAAGATATAAACAAAGGATAGGATTTTCTGAAAACTGTATGAAGACAAGCCCAGGGAAGGATATACACAGTGTAACAGGCTGTTGTACTTCCAACATTTAGAGCAGAATCGCACAGAATCACAGAATGGCCTGGGCTGGAAGGATCTTAAATCTTAATAGGTGGCAGCTACCACATTAAAAGTTACAACAGAGAAAACAAAAGGACAATTAAGCATTCAGTAGCATAATTCAAAATAATCAGGTTGGTGAGCAGCAGTCAGCTGAAGTAAATAGAAAATAATAAAGAATGGAAGGCTCTTAAATGACAGTCTGGGAAGCGTGCTTCCCCCACACAAGCACCACTTCAGGATTTACAATTCAGTGTAGCTCAGCCCAAATTAATACTAACCCATGCAATAAGGTAGGAAAAGGAAGCGGCACCAAGACCTCGCTTTTACTTAAGATGGTGAAGGTGCGCTAGCTGCAACATCAAGGAGCTGGGTCACTGTACTACACTGCCTATGTTGTTCAGAAGGAAAAAAAAAAAAGACTGTTGTTCATTCTTCCCTGGGAAGTAAAATGAGACAGTTCAAACCCCTGAAGAACAAGGGCTGCAAATCTAAATTCGCATTCGGATTTTGATATCCCAAGCAAACCATCAAGCTGGTTTAGCAAAAGGAAATCATGGTATAACATAAGGCAGTGGATGGATGGAAGACCAGGTCAGCACGCTCTAGGAGATCTCTGAAAAGTCATGCAAGCAGACAAGACTCAAAAATATTTCTCTTGTGTATACCAGCACAATTCAATAAGTCACTGACCCAGCTGTTCCAACTGTGACAGCCTGAGTGATACAATGCATGCCTGGGCCACAGGTTCAGCATTTTGAGGATTTATATTCAAGACTGGAATTAAATTTTCAAAATTCAGCTGACGAGGCAGATCATGTTTTCATAGCTAGAGATCACTGCTATTTATTACGACTTCTTTCCTAAACTTACAGAACATAACATAGATACTGTATGCATTAGCTAGAATACCAACATAAAATGAATAACTCCAGTTCATCAGAAACAACCAAGTAATCAAATCTCCATCGCTCTGAAGTTCACATTTCTGGCACTGGATGGGAGAAGAAAAAAAAAACCAACAAGACACAACAACAAAAACTACCAACACACCAATTTTAAAACATGACTTCTTCTAAAAGCAGAGATAAAGACACCCTGTCAGCATATCTTCATCATTACTTCCTGCCCAGTTGTGGAATTTGATGTCATTTTGCCTGAAGCAACACTCACTGCTTGTTTCATGGCAGTACTGCTGATTTTGAACATGCACTAATCTAGTGGCCTTTGAACCATCCTCAATCATATTCACAGTGCTGTCACACAGCGGACCTGGTAGGAATCTGAGTACAAGGTCTGCCAAGCACTCCCCGTGAAAACAGATGCTGTCACTGTGACAAGGTAAACATCATTAAAAAAAAAAAAAAAAAGGCTCTGCATTACATGGGCCAGGTAACTTGAAGCAGCAGTATCATGAAATACTGATTTCTTTCCTTCAAAAAGAAAAAAAAAACAAAACTGTTTTTCAGTTGGGGGTATGCAGTTTGGTTTAACTTCAAAAATTTACAGAAAGTTGCTTGCATGCAAAATGTCTACCAAACTTGATCAAGAATCTGAGAAAACAAAACAAAGTCCTCTGTCAGATCTGATACCTGTATTCTTGAGCTGGATTCTGCACAGGAAGATTTGCTCACATGTACAGTAGTACAAGATAGGGATTTTCTCCGTAAGGACAATTCACGGAAAACTTACGAATAAAGCCCTGCTCTGTTCAGCTCAGACAGTTTCATCCATCTTCTCTTCCCCAAAGTCTACATCAGGGACTACACTGGCTGTAAACACTTTCTTGTGAGCCAGTTCATAGCAATCAACAAGAGCAGCTTCATCTGGAGAGGAGGAAGAACCAGGGCAGCCACCAAACAACCATCAGAGCAGCAATAGAGGCCACCTGATACTGTTCACCCAGGGAAGGCAGAGGCAGTTCAATATACTGAATATGTTGCCCAAGAAAGAGGAGATGGTGCCCTGAGAGCCTAGAAATGCCAACCCCAAACAGCTGTTTCTCAGCATCTCTAAATCCCCATTTCTCTCTTCCAACATGAAATGGGCATCTTGCCATCTGCATGAATGCAGTAAACTGGATTAGGAAGAGACCTCACATTACATAGCACACTCCAAAAAGCAGAGTGCTGAATACCCTTGTGAGTGAAACAGTGCACTGAAGGTCCATACAGCCCTATACATGTCCCATAGCCAACAGCAAACATCCTGTCCTTACAGCATGCAGTTGGCTGTAAAATACACAACAGTACTTTTCTGAGGTGCTGCTCCACCTGACAGCAATCTGCATTTCAGGGCCATCCTGAAGCAAAAGGTGAAAACACTTGGAGAAGAGATAGGAAGAAACAGGATCAGCACAGATTAGGATCCTTTGTGCTTCCTTTGTGCTCAGAGCTTTATGAGAGAAATTGGTGGCAGGGAAGAAATGACTAAAACCAAAGCCACCTGCTTTCTTTTAATCATACACCCCATTAAAAACAGCATTATATCTATTATGTAAAATCCAGACTTGATACTTTATGCATACACTCTAAAAATACGTTAGCCTTTGAAGTACATTAGAACTACACAAAACACTCATCAAACACTGACACAGCTTGAAGACAAGACAAAGTATACCAATAGTTGAAAACTATTTTGCTACTACTGTTTAAAATGCTGATTCTAGGCTGCAGCTGCAAACAGGATCAGGGCCCCATTAAGTGCTAACACACATAGAAGAGAGCTGCACAGGAGAAACACCAGTGGTATCATCAGGGAACATGGAGGGCATAAGAGAATTTAAAAAAAAAAAAAGAAAGAAGAAATCACATAGAAATTTGGAAATCAACAGACATCCAGAAATTCAAAACAATTTTTTTGAATTGAAGCAGTTAAAGAAATTTCTGGCACTGTGAATCACTGATCATTAAAAGGTTTAAAAATGTGACCTATCAAACCAAAATCCTCCTCATAATGGGTATTACTGCAAAGGCTTCTATCAAAGAAATAAAAATTTGAATAGGCTCTCCCACATCAAATATATACAAACTTACAAGCCATACACACCACTACTACAGGTTGACTTCCTCTTGGAAAATTAAGCACACAAAAGACAGATAAAGGGGCAATAGATGAAAGCAGAATTATAACTTCACATAACAAAACGTGAGACTTCCACATATTTCAGTCATGTTTGATTAGTTATGTTACCTAATTCCAATGTTCTGTAATTTGCCCCAGATAAACTTTCGGTAGTAGAAAAGCATGTTTTTCTGGAACATGGTCTCGGTGATATAGAAAAATGATTTGAGCAACTCGATAACATAGGAATCCATCAGCCAGTATAGGAATTTTGCCAAAATTTCTTCACGGTAACAATGTTCATAGGCAGGAACAGAGTGATTACCTTCAATAAATAATTCAAATGCAGTTAATGTAGTCATAGCAAAGGTCAACTTTTCATATTAGTAAAAAACAGAAACAAACTATACAGAACAACCCATATATACAATCTCTTCTTAGTACGAGGCCAGTAAAAAGAGAAAAAAACCCAAACAAATAATTCCACAGATGCAGCTCAAAATTTTCATTGGTGTTAATTATAAATCGTTGCAACTTTCCAATAATATGTTTCTAATTAAAGAAGAATTTAGCAAAATACAGCTGGATTATTGAAAAAGACTCTACAAAAATGTTTGTTGGATTAGCTGCTCAGCACAAATCACAGCTGCTGCACCAACCTTGACACAAAGAGATGAAGTTTTAAACTGAAACTTATCAGATGGAAATCAGTTGCTTAGTTCTATACCCCGCCTGGGTTGTGTGCTCTCTGCGGCAGAGACACTTTCATGTCCAAAAAAAAAAAAAAATACTGCCAAAAAGAGATAAAAGGATTCACTTCAACAGAAGCTAGAGAACATCACTGAAAAATGCAGCAGCTGTGAGAAGATTCTTTAAATAAAGAATCGTAATACGAAGGCCACCAGATTCACAGATTAAATCAGCACATTACATAGCTGTTCTGGAACAAGATGATTAGTTTTTGACATTTTGACATCACATGTCAATTTCCTGAATTGTAGTCATGATTTACAAGAAACCACTGCTACTTCTTTTGGGGAGAAAAACACCTACAGTGCAGCAAAGCAATTAAATGCAAGTTTAAACTTCAGGCACAAGGGATTAGTTTCAGAGAAAATGAAATTAAGTTGACGAGTTGCTTTTCCTGGATTCAGGCTATTATTCTTTTCAGAAGTAAGACATTACAAGTGATTATGAACCAAATGTGTTTTTACAATAAAAACCCTTTGAAATATTTAATCATTCAATAATTTTAAAACTGCGGTTTTGAGCCAAAGTTTTTAAATGATTAATCAATATACTTACTAGAATTAACAGCTTCTTATGGAAGTGTACCTCAAATACCATACCACCTACTTTCCTCCTATACTTCAGGGAACCTGCAGTAATTTCAGAACCCTACTGCACCTTTTAAGAAGGAATGCCATTTTCAACTCACATTACTGTAGGATCCAAGCATATTACTAGGTAAGAACACTGCAAGCATGTTAGTTATAGCACATTCCACATTCTGTAGGTGGAGAATGGAATCACAAAACAATTACAACATGTGAGATTCTACAGCAGTTAACCACAGAACCACAGGTTCAGCCTAGAACGATGCCCAAGGGTAATGTCTTTAGAGAGGCTACTTCAGATTAGTAAGATTTGCCTCTCTTCACCTGAGAAGATCACTGACAGGAGGGATTCCCAGAGAATTCAGAGCTGTCCCACTCATACCAGTGGGATGATCTCTGCATCGCCACTCACCCAGCCCCAAATCCTGCTCAGTAAGGATCATACATTCCCAAAGAAGAGCTCCAGAAAGGTAATGGATGGAGGGCAGCTTCTGCATTGCACAGATCCCTTACTCTTGTCTTTTTCACAGGGTAGATGCGAGAGAGAAAAATCCCATGGAATGACTGCATACACGTGTCCTGTTTTGGCTTTAGTTCTTTCTGATGTTTTATGGCAACCCAAAAGACTACACTTACTCCTTAAGTGCTTTGGTCACAGATATTGGCAATCTGGGGAGCAAGAGCAGAAGGGAATGTGTTTTGTTGGAAGGCCTGCGTCCTGAATTCACGTTTCTGCATAAAACCTTAATCCCATTAAACACAAAAGGTGTCAATAAAGATGCACAGAGGAAGTGAGATCTAAGAACTCTCCCCAACCTCAATTACAACCACTACCACGTCTTCCTCTCTCAACTCCTGTTGTTACCAATAAACCACCAACTCCAAACCCATATTGAATGCCCTTCCATCCCCTCCTTAAGCCTGACCACCACCCATCTGACGCCGTTGGTTTTGCAATACAAGTACCTTTGGCCAGACGAAGCCATGCGCAGTCATTCACTCTCATCTTCCACATCAGCTGCTGCAATGAAAGCTTAGCATACTTCCCCATAGAAATGAATGCTTTCACGTTTTTAAAGAACCGGCATTTGTTATGGCTTGAACCCCACAGCTCGGCAGGAATCACCCGCTCCAGGCAATCCCTCACAAAGCCATACACCTGCCAGTGGCTGCTGTGCTGCCTGAGCAGCTCCCTGAGGAGCGGATCACTCCCCTCTGCAAGGTGCTGCTCCTCTCTCTCTGTCTGCCCACACACTGGCATTGAGGGAGGAGTGTGGAAGCTGTTCGGCGCAGTACCCTCAGTGGACTCTTCCCCATGTTCTGTGTGCTTGTGAACCTTTGCTTCCCCAGGCAGAGCTGCCTGCAAGGTCAGCTCCGTTTTTTTCAAACATGCTTCAGAAAGCAAAACAGGGCAATTTTTTCTCAAGAAAACTAAATAAGGGCACTTCTCGTGGTTTTTTAACAGCTTCTGAAATATCTCTCTCATTTGCCAGTAGCGTTTGGGCAACCTCTTCTTTCTCCACTTTTGCTGTGTTAGGCTTTTGTTCTGCTTTTCCTTTAATGGGTTTTGGCTCAAGAATATAGTTTCTATAAGCCGCCTTCCACCTGCCTGACAACCCTGCAGGCGGCTCAGTATGAATGATTTAGGAAAATATTCTTGGTAACTACGGGAATACAGAAGAAATTTCTTCTCAAAGTACACTGCAGAGCGCAAGAATGTATTTGGTAACTGCTTTGCCAAATGAGCTGGGGGATTTTCCTGCTTTCTGTCCCCCGAAGAATCACCTTCCATTGGTTCAGTTTGTACAGAATTCAACCCCGGTTTATGGGTTGGATTTATATGCCTCTCTATACCCCTTCTATTGGGTTTACGGGTTGGGTTTATATACATCTCTATGCCCCTTCTATTGGATTCTGCTCGTTTTTCTGCACCGGTCTTTGTGTGTTTGTTACCCTGAACTCCTCTTGGAAAAGAGCTTTTGTCTGCCACAGGCCTCTTCCCAGGGTGAGATCTGTGAACTGCAGAAGGACCAGACATCTCACTGTTACTTCTTTTAGAAACGTAACGTTCTTTAATAAGACCTACAGCACGTGGTGCTACATGCCAAACTCCGTGCCTCTGGGAGCTACTTTGATTTACATCAGGAACGATACTACAAGGCTGCTCCTCTATCTCTTTCTCCATTACTTTCACTCTCTTAGCTGCCATTTCAACCTGTTCTCTGTCACGCTTCCTTTTTAAAGATGGTGTTCTAGCTGGCAAACATAAACTGGAGCAGCTCTGTTTTTCCAGATGTGCAGTAACTGTGCTGATCCGCATGCCTGCTCGAAAGTTCACTTCTGCAGAAGACTGGCAACCAGACCTTGGGCTTTGTATCCTATGGCTCCTTCTTTTTCTCCTGCTGGAGACACGACCTTGACGTCTCGGCCTGCACTTCCACCACTGTGACTTGGAGAGATAGTGCCTGTGAAACACAAGCCTTTTTCGCACATAGTCAAGCAAGCTATTATGTTTAAACCTTGAATACCGTCGTCTAACAAACCCTGGGGACGGCCCTATGTTACGCGAAATAAGTTCATAAATTGGTTGCCCGCAAACCTGATAACAGTTACTTGGGGGAACCAGCATGAAGAGTGCACAGTGCTCCAGCAGGTACATCATCACATCATCCCCTATCCTGCTCAGCAGTATCTCCCAGAGGCTGCTGATGCGAATCGTTTCTGTTACAGTATTGGGCAGATAGTTGTATATGCATGAAGATGGCAAAATCCTGAAGTGACAACTGTTTTCATCCAGCAAGGAGTATCCATATGCAAGAATGTTCTTCTTTTTCTTTTCACACAGTCTCTGAACGATTCTTGTGATGACTTCGCTCTGACTGGATAACTGAACAAAGACAAAAAGACGGAGAATTGATTTTTTAAATCAACAGCTCTTCCACAAATAACATGTGGCCTAAAGAAGCAGACACGCCAGCTACACCCAGGCCTAGACTTCAGCCTTACATTATGCCTTTACAAAGCCGTATAACCATTCACAAGTGCTATGCCAGACTTTCACAAGTGCTATGCCAGACTTGCGTGCGCACTGCAAGATGTTTACATTCAGCAACCTGAGCCGCCTGCCTTACGGAAGCCTGTTCGGTGCTGCCCTTTTGATCCCGCTCCTCATGCCCAGGAAGCGCCCTGTGCTTCTCCTCCCCACCCCGACTCCCAGCACAGGGCCTCCAGGTCACCGTGCCCCAGAAGGCCGTGCCACCGGAGGAGAACTCAATGTCTCTCGAGACCTCCATTTCCTTTTGCGTAAAATAAAGGAGTTTTAACAAACTTAAAATCCGCTCGGTAAGCTCGCACAGCTCGTTTCGCGCGGCGTAGCTCTGCTTTCCCCCACCCCTCTCACAGGGGAAGGTGGTACTTCCCTCACAGTCGCTCTAACGAGCCACGCTGGCTCGTCGGACCAGACGAGCCCCCGAACCCCAGACATGCAAATCTTTGAGCCCACCGCCGCCCGGACGCCTTCAGCGCTCCGCCAGCCCTCTCTAGGGACGGGACCGGGGGTGGTGCAGACGGGGCCACGGGCGGAGGGGCGGCCACGAGGGGAGAGGCGCACGCAAGCACGCACGCGGGGCAGCAAGAGCCCCGCAGCCCTAGCGCTCGCTGCCTTCGGGGCCGACCCCGTGCGCGGGGCACCGTCCGGCCGCTCTCCCTCCTGCCTACCTGCTGGAAGCAGATGGGCCGGCGGATGGCGCGAGCCCCGCGGGGGACGCACACCACACACTGCGACACGAAGGTCCGGTAGCACTGCGCGTCGTCGCCGCGCAGCACCTCGACCTCCCTGGTGCCAGCTTCCCGCAGCCGCCGGACGAAGGCCTCCAGCGGCGTGGCCTCGGCGTAGCAGCCCCGCAGCGCGCCCAGCACCGCGGCGAAAGGCTCCGGCCGCACCACGTTGCGGAGCCGCCGCACGCCGACCCCAGGATCGGCCCCGCGCTCCATCTCCGCGTGCTGCGGGGCTCCACGCGGCGCAGGCGGGGCGAGGCGGGGCGCGGCGGGGCGGGGCAGGGAGGGTCAGGCCGGTGTCCAGCTGCGCTGCGACTGGCGTGCCACGGGCTGCTGCCGCCTCACGTTGCGCCAGGGGAGGCTCAGGTTGCATTTAGGAACAATTTCTTGGAAAGAGCGGTGAGGCACTGACGCAGGCTGCCGGGGAGTCACCGTCACTGGGCGCGTGTGGATGCGGCAGTGAGGTTCGTGGGCATGGTGGGGAATGGATTGACAGCTGCACTAGGCGATCTTGGGGGGCTTTTCCAAACGTAATGATCCTGCGATTCTGTGGAAAGTTTGCGTTGCCGCTCTTGCTTTGTCCCTGTGGAAAGCGGCGGGAAACAAGACTCCACACAGATCTGAGCGGCAGACATGGGCGCAGAGTTGTGTGGTGCGGGGCCTGCATGGGGCGGTGGGGAGGCATGAGCTGTGGTTAAAGCGTGTGTGTGTGTGTGTGTGTGTGTGTGTGTGTGTGCACCCTTATGGCTTGCCTGGGCCTTGCCGACTGAAGAGGATTTGTCCTGGGCTTCATACAAAATACATATACTTCGCTCCAAAAGTAATGCCTCCCATTTATTCCCGTTAAAACTGCAGCCGCTAGGAAGAGTGCAATAACACAGTTTGATAGAGAAAACTCTCAGCTATGAAACATTATTTTTTGACACAGTCACCACCATTAGCTATTCATTTCCACCAGCAGTGAACAAGAGCCTGCATGCTGCGCTCATAAAAACTTGCACCAGCAGAGGTGACCCACTGTCAGGGCAGCTGAAATGCACCACCTGCTGCCTCACCGTGTGCACAGCCGCTGTGTGGTCTCCATAAACATTCATCAGTGAATGTCGGTGGGTGCCATTTTTTCCACATAGTGGAATTCAGTTCCGTAGCTTTGCTTCACGCGTTTCCATGCCAGGTGCCGTGGTGTCAGGCTGCCTCTCAGCTGCCATCTGTCACATGGCAACAAAATGTAACAATATTGGCAGTAGGGTTCAGCCTTTAATGCCATACCACTGACATCCGCCTCTTAACGTTGTGGGCCAACATAATAAAATAGGAAGCATTGCTTTTGAAGCAGTCCTGAAATAACATAGTTAATGTATGTAAGTAGCAAAACTTTTTTTTTTCTTTTTTTTGCTCTTGTTTAGTAAAATGTAAAAAAAAGAGAGTAACAAAACTATAAAACTACTGGGATATGTGACCTTGTTTATGTGAAACTAATGCATCAATCTGATTCAGAGATGGTGGTTGCAATTCTTAGTTAGCTCTCAAGGAGCTCATCAGAGGTTTTTATGAAATTTTACTCTTCCTGTGCTTCATCCTTAAAAATAGTTGTTCACAAACGTATGTACTGCCGAAAAGCAATGACATGAATAAGGTGTGATTGTGAACCTTTTCCTAACCCTCACACTGACCCTCCTTTGGCAGAGCTCCATGCTGTTCCTTTGGTCCCATCGCTGTCACCAGAGGGAAGAGCTCAGCACAGCCCTTCTACTTCCCATGAGGAAGCTATAGGCCCACAATGAGGTCTCTCCTCAGTACCCTCTTCTCTTAACTGAACAAACCAAGCAACATCAGCAGCTCTTCATACCACTTGCCCTCCACACCCTTCATCACTGAATGTTGCTGGTTTACTAGTGTAAATCTGTTACAGAAGAAATCTGGAAGAATCCCATCCAACGAATCCCTTTTCGAATGAAGACTTGATAGAAGGTCAGTATTAAAGAAGAGTACTTGTTGAAAAGGTTATGATGGAGATGAGCAGAGTAAACCTTGAAAGTAACTGCCTGGTCCTGTGGCTCTCGTTAACCTCAAAAATTAAGAAGCTTAATTGCGTAAGGTAGTATGTAATGTCCTACTCAGATCTTTCCTTAGTGTCTGAAGGCTTTATGGTAACAACATTGACAGCAATGAGGTCTTTGTGGTTAGGATCCTTGAAGAAGTGAATATTGATCTGTGCCTTTCAGTGGGTCTTTCTTAGTTGCAGCCCCAGTATCAGTGCACAAGGAAGCAATGGGACTGTAGTGGTAGTGGAAGATGCTCCCACAGTTGAGAATATGCTGCTTTCAGGTGAATTTACAACTACTTGTCCATAAACTCTGGCAGCAGTGAATCCATGCTGCCAAAGCTGATTGACTTGCTCATGGCAGATGATTGTAGATGTTTCAGTAGATTGAATTTCTGAGAAGACCTTTTAACTTACCTTGACTCCTTCTAGCAATTGGTGAGTTGGTGAGTCCCTAAGTAGGTGATGCCTCTTGCTGATATGTTCTTGGTGACAGTAATTACAGCAGTGATTGCATGGTCAGAGGATAACTGACCATGGATAGCAAGATCTCTTTCCTCCTGTTTCTTTTCATAGATACCACCCTGCTTTTCTGTGTTTCTACCATTGGGCTGGGGAAGGAGCTCAGCAAGGAGAGGGGGAATGAAGCGATATGGGAAAAAAGTTATTTTTTAGGAAGACAAATAAGGAAAATAATGGGAACATAGAGTCATAGAACAGAGAAGTATGATGTCTTTTGCACCTCTGCTCCATAAAGCAGGGCCACCTAGAGCAGGTTGCCCAATGTCATGTGTAACAAGATTTTAAGTATCTTCAAGGATGGAGCCACCACAACATTTTGCAGGTGTTCTACCACCCTAAGAGTAAAAAGATGTTTAAGTAGAATTTCCTGTATTTTAATTTGTGTTCACCACATCTTGTTCTATCCCTGGCTACCATTGAGAAGAGTTTGTGTCCATCTCATTAACATTAGCTACTTGTGTACTTTAATAAGATCCTTGCTGAGCCTTTCCATCTTGAGGCTAAACAATCCCAGTTACCTTAACACCTCCTTATATACCAGATGCTCCACTTCCTTAATCATCTTAGGGCCCTTAGTGTCAGGTTCACTAGGCTCACTTCTGTATATCCATCAGCCTTGTTCTGGAGAACCCAGATCTGAATGAATAATGAAGTCAGGTTCTCCTCGACAACATTTATCCTTCAAGGCACTATGCAGATATTGACTGAATTCTATTACAGATAACACGTCCATAGCCAGTTTTATCTCCCTATTTTAGTTGTTCCCTTTTACATCTGTTATGTTTGCCTTAAAAGTAATTACTATGTAGGCCAGCAGTAATTAAAATAGTACTTTAAAGAACCCATTCAGAGTGTAATTTCTGAAAATGCTCCTATGTAAATGTTTTGCACTCCAGTTTTGTTTTTGCCAGCAGGATTTACAACAGTGTCACCCCAATGAGTTATTTGGAATTACTCTTTAATTTCACACTAAAAAATGATGAGAGAGTCAGACTTTCTGAACCAGGCTATAGCACACTCAGGGAGAAAAAAACCTCAAAGGCAAAACTTGATTTTTCCTTTGTTAATGCAAACATTCAAATGTCACACCCTCATCCCAGCATAATCTCCATGAAGCTGAGATGTGCAGCAGAACAGGGTACAGAGATTTACAAGGTTTTATGAGACTAAGAAGAAAGGTCAACCTTGCAGCTGGGTATGAGGGAGGTTATCACAGTGCTAGAGCTTGGTTCATGCGTTTCTACAGCACTGAAGGTTGGGGAAAAGCCATGAGAACATCTAATAGGGCTTAAGTGTGCTTTCTGAAGTACAGCTAAGAGCAGGAGATTTCATTTCCTTTCGTAAAGGACGAAGACAATCTTTACCTCTGATTATCATTGCTTTCATAGTTAAGGAACTAAAACAGAGCTATAGTGTCCCACATGTAAATGAAAGAAAAAGTGATGAAAAAAATGAGAAGAAAGAGAGAGGAGTAATGTTGGCTGAGACGTTGACGAGGTGTTTGTTCAGATTACATTCTGGTACATCTGCTTTAACGCATCATTGTTAATGTGGTGGCTTGCTCTGACATCTAGCAGGGACTCCACCAGTTCTTGCGAAGAAGAGAAAAGACAACACAATTAAAATCATTTCCTATCCAAGCAGTTACTAATCCCCACCAAAGACAAACCAAATCAAAACAATACCTTAAGGCAAACTTCATCACTTTTTCTTGAAGATTTTATGTTGTGTTCACAAAATCATATTTCTCAAGCATTAGATGAAGCGCAGAAGTTCAATGAAGAACATTTCACTTATTCTTAATAGAGTTTTAGCCATACTATCACTCAGCCATACAGGCAAAGCCATCCTGTATATATGCATGCTAGTGCTGCATTTCTCCCTAGCAGTTCTTAAAAGGACACAAAAATATCCTTTCTGCTGTTCCTGTGCATCCTGTAGACGCTGAAAACTTTTGACATTTCCCCTTTCTTTTCCCTCCATTTTCTTTGGTTCCTACTGCAACAATCTCCTCTTTAACATGAATGCCTTGAACGCACCACCTTTATCTCATAGGCCTTTTCATCTCCCTCTAAGAGCTTTCCTTTCCCTCCAGCAACACAGAAAAAAACCCTACCCAAAAGTCATTATGATCTCTCATGAAAATAGAGTTACTTTGTTGTGATTTAAGTCTGGTGGGCAATTAAGAACCACAGAGCTGCTTACTCATTCCCTCTTCTGTGTTACAAGAATGAGAATGAAGGAGCAAAAGTCAGAAAATTCATGGGATGAGATAAAGGCAGTTCAGTAATTAAAAATGGAAACAAGAAGAAAACCTATAAAACCAAGTTATGTGAAAGGCAGTTCTCACCACCCACTCACTGATGCCAAATCAATCCTGGCAATGTCCAGTGAGTACGACATCAGGTGGGACCCTTTGGGATGGGTCAGATGGGTCAGCTGAGGTCAGCTGTCCTGATTCCATCCCTTCCCAGATTCTTGTGCATACCCAGCCTTCCTCTGTCTGGGCAGTGTAAGGAGCAGAAAAGGCCTTGCTCTTTCGTAAGCACTGTTCAGCATCAACTGAAATATTTGTTACCAACTCTGTTTCCATCACAAATTTAAAACACAGCACCATACAATCTAATTATGAAGAAAATCAATTCTACCCCAGCCAAAAAATAACGCAGCTGTATTCTTCCCATTGCAGCCGTCAGGATCACCACTACCACCACAGAAGGTTCCGAGAAGAAGATGCAGACATGCCATTTACTACTGACTCCACCAATCTTCTCATTCAGCAGAACGGTCTGATGAGAAAAGAAGTGCACAAGCTCCACCTAAAAGACCCAGCATGTGGCCGCAGCCTCACCCAGCTGCATTGTTGACCACAGACATTTTCTTCTTGGACCCCCTTTGAAGGCAGTGGCATCAACCCTTGAGTTGCATCATGGTGCTACTTGGCAGTGCCCATATCTGCGGCCACATCTCATGCCATTCTATTTAGAAATGCCAGGATCTATGCATCTAATGCATCTGTGGCCTCCAGATTGTCAGTTCACCCCATCAAAAATATACGGGTGGAAATCAAAGTGAAGACCTTTAGGCACAGCCAAAAGTTCTAGCCTTGTCTCTTGAAGAGGCAAAGAAATACACTTTTTTCAGTGGTGTTGAAGAAATGTTACCAGACCTGGGGAAGAAAGGGAATTTGGTTTTTAGAACATCTTTGTCACTTTCAGTATATGGGGAATTTTTGAATCTTACTCCCCATCTTATGTTATTATCTCTTATTCTCCACCTTATTTATTTAAAAAATATATATATTCAACAGTTAACTGGAAAGAAACACACACACAAAAAAAAAAACAAAAAAAACCAAAACCTAACACAGTTGAAGAGACACTAGATACTGACATGGAAGCTCTGGCTTTGGTCTGTCAATCAGTTCTACTCCTGAGCTGCTTTGTGCTGGCCAGAGGAGTTCTCTGAGCCTGCCATTATATGCTGTGTGTCCCAGCCTTCAATGATTCCCTTGTGGAAGAAGGAAGAGGGTCAAGGAGGCAGAGGACCCTTTTCCTGGGGGTGGCTCCTCCGTGCCTTTTTGCTTGCCGGAAAGAAAGGCTGCCCATTGGGCACAGGGGCTGCCTTCTAGCTGCCATCCTGTGCCCTCTAGGGGGCCTCCAGCCACTCCCACCATCACGGTGTTCATCACAGAATCTTACTGGTGTCACAGTAGTCACTGCTGCCCCATCCCACACACTCAGCTCCAAGACCTCTGGTGGTAAACAATCACAGCTGATACCAAGAGAACCAGGAGCGCTGATTGCCCAGTTTTACATGGGAAGAGAGAGTTTGGGTTCCCAGAACCGAAGAGGTGGTGGAGACTCACAAAGCAGAACAAATGCAGGAGGAAAAGTACCTGTGCCCATAGAGCAATGGCCTGGCCTGGGACTACTGTTCTGCAGCCCATGGAGGTGGATGCACTCCAGATGAAGAACCAATGGAAGTGGATTGACCTCTGCTACAGCTGTCTAGGCATATCATTATGCCAGAGTGAGATTACAGCAGCAGCATTGAAGGTCCAGGTGCCCAGCCCCCTGTCTGCTCTGCAGCTTCTGCACCCAGAATTAACTGGGAGACCATTCATTAACATCCTGTGGGCTTGCATGCAGGATAGCCTCCTTTCCCATCCCCTGTCCTTGCCCCTTGTAATGAGATAGCATCTCTTCTGCATGGATTCCCAAGGAAGCAGGTAAATGTGGACTCAGCTTGTTTTTGGCTGCTTCGCTGTATCTACAGGACATGCCCCTCAGAGCGCTGGTGTGGACCTTGAGCCCTAGAGGTGGGGTGTCTCAGCCTGAAGACATTCCTCATTCCCCAGCACGGCTGAGGGGGAGGAGGTGGGAGAAGGAGCATGTGTAGAAGGCATTTTTAGTTTACTTTTAGTTCTCGCTGCTCCAGTCTGTTAGCAATAAGTAATAAATGATATTCATCTCCTTTATGTTGTCTGTTTTGCTTGTGCAGTAATTGGTGTATGATCTCCCTGTCCTTATCTCAACGAAGGAGGCTTTTTTCATTGTATTTTCTTTCCTTGTTCTTTTGAGAGGGGGAGTGAGAGAGTAGCACGGCAGAGCTTACTAGCCATCGCTGAGAAACTACCTCAGATTTTCAGGGGGAAATTCACTTTCCATGGGTTCATTTCCAACTCATTTACTGCCTTCTGAAAGCTCACGCTGTGTTGACATGCTTCTGCTCATGCAGATGAGATTCCTGAGTGCTGAAATCTTCACACAAACTCATCCCCTCTGGCAAAGATCTCTGCAGCCCTGCTGTTTGCTAATATTTAAGACATGAGCTTGATCACAGCGTCCTTACCCAGAGTTAATGCTGGAGCATTCTCTCCCTTTTATAACTTCTCTTTTTCTGTTCTTGCAGGGGACTTTTGAGCACATTTTTCCTTGCAACAACTCATATATGGGATGTTTTTCAAATGCTGTGTGTCATTTTAGTATCATAGAATCTGACTGAAATTTTCAATTTGACTCTCAAAAAGAGTTGGTAGTTGGCAGCTTCAGTAGAGAAGGCAGTGTCCTTTCACTTCTGTGCTGAGCCTTTCACAGCTCAGCCCCACTACTGTGATGCCAGGACACAGCCTCAGAAAGAATACTGAGCTACCTGGGAAAAAATTCGAATGAGACAAAAGATTCTGCTGTTAGCTGAGTGTAAGAACATGAAAGATGAAATTTTCAGCAGGATGAAGTACCTGTTTTGTGTATCAGCTAAATTAGCTTTCCACACTCAGATACTTCTAGCCAAAGGCTGTACTCTTTTTAGAAATGCAGAGGTCAGAATTTGGCTTTTCAAATATATTGTTGCAAACTGAGAGTAGCCATCAATGATTAACAGAAGACCCCAATCAGAATTCCTGAGATAGAAGGCCAGAAAGTCTGAAAAAGAGATTTGGCTGGCACTCTCACTAGAGGAACTTGTAATCAGCCATTTAAATATACAGGATAACCAAAGTAGTTATCTTCTTTGCCCCTCTTCCATCCCTCAGAGGGGTGAATGTGCTTCTATTCCGTAGTCGCAAATGACAGATGCTTCTTGAAATTTGAAATCAGCAAAGCTGGAGATTAAAGAGAACAGCAGTGAAAAATACGGACACTTGCAGCCTTGTATCTTCAAGCTACTTTTCAAGGTGCCGTCCTGTGGAGGAGCTTGGTAGTAAGCAAAGACATCCATAGGGGTTGCTGACGCTTGCACATTAGGGTAGCTTAAGAGGATTATATGTAGCTTATATGAGGCTGCAGTGCAACATTCACTGCATTCCAAGGGTAATGGAGTCAAGTTCAGTGAACAGGATTGTTATTCAGATCACATGCTTCTCCAGCACTGCTGTTCTGAGATCCATCAATTTAAGTCAGAGAAGGCTTCAAACAACACCAATTCCTGATTTGAGTTTTTTCTTCCACATATGATTGTGACAACTTCTAGGATGGCAGAGCTGGAGAGGATAAACACTTCTTAAGCAATTTGTTGAAGAGTTTGTTGACTTTACCACATGGAAACACTCTTTATTCCTTTCTGTTCCTACAGTCAGCACTACTCAATAGAAACACTTGTGCATGATGGAGACTAAATAGCATACGAAGAGAAAGATCCTATGGAGGTCGGCCCAAGCTAGGTATCTGCATCTTTAAGCTTTCAGGCAATGCAGATGGGGAGTTGCAGAGCAGCAAGGAGGCAATGCTTCCTGTATAAGCTGTTGATTGGCCATGATCCCAGCTTTTAACGTAACTCAGCACTGAGCTGGAGCTGTAGCAGACCCAATGTTCTGAACAGACAGAAAAGCATAGCTGCAATTCCAAAGAATGTTCTCAAGCCTGTCTCTACAAGGACAGGCTGAGAGAGCTGGGGCTGTTCAGCCTGGAGAAGGCACTGGAAAGATCTGAGAACAGCCTTTCAGTGTCTAAAGGGGAGTCAATAAGGAAGGACAGAATCAGTGCATTATTTTGCACTAAGCACTACTGTGCAAGAGCATCTCCAGAAGCACGACTTTCCCAATTAACTCCTAATCAAAAACAAAAAACTAAACTGCTAATCTTTCCATTTCCAGACCTACTGCTAACTTAATGAAGATTGTATGACGGTGAGCTAATTGCTTATCACAGTGAATCCTCTAAGTGAGGAAGTTACTCGGTTACACTCCAACTCTCAAATAGGCGAGACACTGATAATTCAGCATGAGCTGCCATGCATTTAATGACATTTTATGTAAGTACTTTTTCTTCTGCCTTAACAACGTAAGGAAATCCAGTTGTGTTTTAAGCCAACAACAAAGAAGTTTAAACATTCAGAATCTCCAAAGTTACACCACTGAAAGTTTCCATCGATGTTCCAGCAACAAAAGAAAACTCTGTATTCCGTATGGTGAGGTTTTTTTATTTGGAAATGGAATGCATAGAACAATGACTTGAACAGGAGAGTCTCAATCATTTTAAAATTAAAATGTTCTAATTTTATATTCTTTATGACTACTGTGTGGAATATTATGAGGTTATTGTCATCAGAAATGCAAGACAAAAGACCTATAAGCTCACAGTATGTAAAGGTGCAAGAGTGACTTTTTAACAGCTGCATGCAAAAAATAAATGGTGAAACATGAGAAATACCCAAATATCGTATTCTGGACTTTCAGAAGCCACTTTAGAAGAATCAATTATTGACTGTTCTGAAATGGCACCAAAAAGGCAACGTATCATTTGCATTATTTGTATCAGGAAATTCATTCACGCCCCTGCATTTTTTACTACTGTTATGAAGTAAGAGTCCCAAATGAATTTGCTTAACAACAAAGAGCTTCTTCCAAACAAATCCAAAACACACAAGACAGAACAACCACAACCTCAGATTTGCATAGACTTATGGATATTTAATGCCAACATCAACAGGTCTACAGTCCTCCTCATTTACAATTAACAATGTAAAGACGTCTGAACATAAACATGAGGTAAATATTCACTTCAAGACTCCTTTCCATTGCCAGTAGCGCATAAGGATTTCAGGATAAGAAAGACTGTGGTCTGTGACAGAAGAATTTACGTGCATTTCCATATCTTTCTGAGACTCGAGTATGCATAACACTTCTGCAGTATAAGATATCTGGATAGAAGCTACTTCATAGAGCAGTTAAAGAGTACTGCAATCTATCTGTGTTCTTTGAAGTTATTCAATTAATATTTTCAATCAGTGGCAAACAGCAGTTAAATAGCCTTGTACAAACAGGGTACTATTTACCACGGCAGCTGAAGAATTATTAGGGTTACTCTGTAGTTATTGGCCAAAGGAAAAGCAGAACTACGAACTAGAATTCTGCCTTCTGGATATTTCTGTTTAAATTATTTCAAAGTAAGATGCTTATTCTTCACCAGGCTGGTTTTCTTCCCTTTTTCCAGGAAGTGCTTGGTATAGTAAGTGAGCAAAGCCATTCCACCTGAATGATGTGTTTAATCACATAAATACAATGGGGGTAGGAGAAAAACAGGAGAAGGATCAAGGAATTATTAAATTTGAAACACCAGGGAATTGGCCCTTTATGTCACTCAGATACCACATTACAAAGAATTAAGATGTTTTAAGAGACCTTCCTAGCACACAACAGTGATTTGCATTACATGAATACCTACTATGGCAACAAAAAAGGTTTGTCAACAATGCAGAAAGATTTATATGAACTTGGATACATATTAAAAGAAATCATGTTACAGCTGTTTCACACCTTCATTCCATTTAAGACAACTGATACCCTCTGTCAATGTTGTTGGCTAAGAAAATGGCTAGAATTTGAATTTTAACACCACCATCTGTCTCATTTATTGCCAACAGATTTGAAGCTCCGAACTTCCTATGTCCACATATAAATTTAATACTAACTTCTAAAATTCCCATGATTTCTGTTACCAGACTAGGAAGATTTGTAATTAGCATACAGTTGGATAATTACACATTTTCTTTTTGACAGCCTCCAGTTTGGCAGTAATGCTTGACTCTGCTGTAACACACTGGTTAGTTTTTTGACTTTTCACAGTGGCATGGCACCACACTTCCACTTACTGAGTTGCCTTAAAAACACAGATCTGGATATTAATTACAGTGCTCTGGACACTTAAGGTTTCCACTGAA